TCACGTTACCACGGTCTTTCCCAGAACGTTTTTTAAAGTTTTGTGGCGTGGTGTGACAAAACGTTGTGCTACTTGGGTTTGGTAAACATATAACAAACCCCTTTGTAACATTCAATCACCGGTAACATTTCGAACTAACAAAAATGTTGCTATCAAAATGTAACATTCGCCAAAAACAAACGTTAGGTGTTCAAGATAGGGTATCTCCGCATGTCATCGGGCGTCTTATCTGAACCCTTGGGTCAAAGCCTTCACTACGGCAGGGGCAAACAAAATTGAACGCAACGAAATAAGGTAGAAAGGCGCACGCAATGAACTCCAAGCGGCTCCCAATTCACGTATATTCACGTCTTGTAATTCGTCTTGTTATCACCATCTTCTACCTAGCAGCAGCGGTGCATGTGGTCAAAAATTATGAAAAACTATCTGTCACCGCAAAGCCATAGAGTGTCGCGATGCTATTGTGCCTGGGAGATGACGTGTCTGCAGGCCACTGCCCAATCATGCGGTTGCAAGCCGGCACGCATGTCCTTCAGTCGAAACCAACAGCCACCCGCCGCGACGTCAGAATTTGATACGGACAAGATTTGTTCGGCGCTGCTGCCTTCCATCCTTCCCAAATCTTCCCAAATGTGCTGCCTGCCACGATCCACCACGCATCCCTGGCAGACATCCTCCTTCCTCCCCACTTTCTGGCCGTTCTGACGTGGTGAGTCATAGGCACGCCAAATGAGGTGGCTCAGAAAAGAGATGCTCAGTGAAGAGATATAATTACGTCAGGGAAGAAATTGCGAAGAGAAAACGTGACTCATAGAAGAACTGGTTCCGAGCAGGCAAAACTTGGAGAAAATATACTGTACGTCATTCATTGGCTCATTGCAGGGTGGCGGTTTTTTTTTTCGGGATCTACAAACGCTTAGTCGGAAACTACAACTCTGTCTTCAGAAACTAGAAATCCCTTCTTCGGAAACCAAAACACATTTTTCGAGAACTATATTCTTCGAAGATAAAACGCTCTCGTCGGGAACCACACCAAACCGCCTTCAGAAATGCCAAACACTCTTCTGCGGAAACTACATGATTACATGGCACATTGGTGAATTGCATTTTTCGTGCCACATCAAGATCGCGGCCAGGGTGTTCCTACCTTTTTCATGTTTTTTCTTCATTTCCGTAATGTTTTCTGGGGCCCAACCTCATTCTACATTGCAGCATTGGTTTGGAAGTCTCGTAATGCGGGGCGCGCGGTCAAAAATAATCGTACCAAAGTTTGTGCAAGCGTCTAGTCAGGCAGGGGCAAAACAATGTTCAATGACAATTGTTTTGTGTAGGCGTTTAAAACGTGCTTGTCTCTGGCAGGGCATGGCAAAAAAGTGACTATGGCAAGAGTCGGGCAATTGTTTTGTAGAGCTGGCGGGGAAAAATTCAAGAAAGTCTTACCCGAGTCGTGCAAATATCTTGTCGGGCAGAGGGAAAAATCAAAGACTATGACAAGAGTCGGGCAAATATTTTGTAAACACTTTTGTAGGCCAAGTGGGAATTTAGAAGCCTTTTGTCAGAGTCGTACAACCGTCTTGTAAGGCAAAAGTGGGGTTAATGAAACTCTTACAAGAGTCGTGCATTTGCCTTGTAGAGCAGGGGGAACAAAATCAATGACTATGACATTACATACTGTTACAAAAATCATGCAAGTGCCTTGTCGGGCGGGAGGGAGGGGAATCATTAAAAAATCATCTTATCAGAGTCGTGCATTTGTTTTGTGGGGCAGGGACACGGGAAACTTCAATGACCATTCCATGTCTGAAGTTACTGGAAAGAGCCTTGACCGGGGTTAGTTCTTGTTAGTTCCTGGATTATGGGAAAATATGGGAACATGTTTCCTGAAGAATAGCTCCTGAACCGGGGATCAGTAGCTCCTGAACCATAGTTCCTGAAGAATGGATAGTTCCTGAAGAAGTGATCATTCCTCATGGGTTCGCCCCTTCATTCATTGACTATCATTGACTCACTGGTTCACCCATTCACGCATTTACTCACTCATTCATTCACTCATTGACTCCTTCACTGGTTGGTGCCATTACTGCACATGGAAATGCCAACTTGGCAGTTATCATCGATCTTCTTGGGTCGACTCTGTGGTGACACCTTTTCTTCCACATGGAATTTATAATGAATTTATGGCATTCGAGCAACAGATTCATCAGAAAATGCCCTACGATATCTAAAGTCTTTACATGTCTTTACAAGTTTGACCAGGGCATGGACGAACCACCGCCGTCAGGAAATCTGTAGACCCAATTCCTACCATTGTTCCATAGACATCCATAGACAACATACAAGGGGGATGATGGGGATGGGATCATCCAATTGTGCAACCTTGTTCCAACTCTGGGCAATGTTTCCGCCCCGATGTTTGAAAAATCAATCAACTCAGAAAGGGAAAGCTTTTACAGAAAACATCACAAACCTTTGGAATTTTAGAATTATAACCCCGGAATCTCCCTAGGAAACCAAATTCAAGATTTATTATGTTTATGATTTTAACATATTTTAACCTGGTTTTGATATGATTTGAAGATATGAGTTTGATACGCTTTGAATTTGGGGTTATGATTTCGACATTGTTTTATAATGCTTTTGATATGGTTCGGCTTATGGTTTATATAGGTATGGTTTTAGAGGTGGTTTATGATGCTTTGATATGGTTTGGGAACGGAGCGCCTTTTTCAGGGTTCCCAATGGGTTGGCTTCAAAAAGGGAAACCGAAACAGCCAGGGACAGGTGTTTGGTCGATTTCTCGATGGTTTTTGTGGTTTTGATATGATTTTTGATATGAGTTTGATATTGCTTTGATACGAGTACATTTTGATACGCTGTTGATACGATTTGGTACGATTTGGTACGATTTTGATATGATTCTGATTTGATTTTGATATGGTTCCGGTGGGTTGGCTTCAAAAGAGCAAACCGAAACAGCCAGCGACAGGTGTTTGGTCGATTTCTCGATGGTTTTTGTGGTTTTGATATGATTTTAATATTTTTTTAAAAATATGGTTTTGATACGGTTTTGATACGATTCTGATACGATTTTGATACGATTTTGACAGGGTGAACTTGTGTCTTCCCAAGTTGAGCCCAAACAATTGAGGAATCCGCATTTCCTCACCTTGCAAATGTCTCAACTTGCACGGAAATAGCATCCAAAACCCCGTCAAAATCACAATTCTGACCCAGATCAAGAATCATAACTGAAACATACTGAAACCATATTGAAATCATAACCGAAACCGTATCAAAATAATAACTGCAAAACCGGACCAGAAACAAATCATAACAAATCAATACAAATCATATCTGAGTCATATCAAAACTATTTGTTATTTTTTCTGAAAAACATCCATCCTAGAGACTTCGGATCTTATAATATTTATGATTCTAGAAGTCAAAGGTGCTCCCTTTGGGGCGAGGCACGTTGACATGACATGACATGACATGACGAGGCGCGAAGATGAAAATGATGAGAAAGCGGCGGAGGCGCAGTCAATGAGGAGAAAGGAGGAAAAGGGACTGACATCAAATCCAAGGACGCTCGCTTACAGCAGGGCAAATCAACTGCGTGGCCGAATTGATTCTGGTCGATTTTCGTCCGTGAAGATTCGAACGTGAACATGCATGCGGGAGTCAATTTACACTTGCATGAATACGAGGGGGCAACGCTGTGGCTGTGTCTACAAGATTCTACAACCAATGTGTGTTCACATTCTTCACGAAAGGGTTTCCAATTTTGCCAATGGTCAATGAAAATTTGGCCCTGATGTTGCTGTGGGTCCCCATGCCCCAACCCAAGTCTCAACTAAATATATGAGCTGCGAACCATATTTGTTACATAACGCAATTGACGGGGTGTTCCTACCTCGTTCTCCAGTCCCGTAACGTTTTTGCCTACCTCATTCTCGGGGTGTTCCTACCTCGTTTTACAAGCTAAATATGATGTTTTTGACAAACCGGGGTACGTCCGAATACTACTTTCCATATACGCAAATAAGAGCCGTCGCTCATATATATATGTAAGATCCATTTTTTTTGTTCATAGACTTACCCTTATGGTGTGCAGCCAATTTCATGTTCACCGACGGTGGAAACCTTTGGACGCTGCAGCAACCGGATGGTATGTCGCTATTCTGTCGCTTACCAGGTGCGAAGGTGTGCGAAGGTGCACGGGGACCCCGGGGATCCCTTGAGTTGGTCGTGTTTCCTATCGCGGGGATCTGCCATGATCTGCCTCCAAAGTCTTGCAACAAATCATCGAGCGTTGTAGTTGTTGAGAAGTTTTGAACGAACCTGGACGAAGCCATTCTTGGCGCTTGTGTCCTGAAAAGTGCCATTGGTGGCCATAGCCACAAGAAAATACAAGAAGTCTAGTTCAAACCTTGGCCACGTTTAGCGCGTCAGTTTTCCTGGATGGTTTGATCATGTTTGATCACTCCTCTGAGGTGAGTGGGGAGGATTGAAAGTGAAGCCTGCTTGAAACAAGGAGCCGGATTTGTTTTGTTCACCGACTCAGTCGCCAACGTTTCGCTAATCGACGATTCGACGATTCTCCAAACGCCACCGGAAACCGTGGTACATTGTCTCCTATCGACGCTTTCCCATTAAAATCGCCAGCGACAAGTTCCCGTTTTGGCACGTCATTTCTGAAGCGTAGGGCACGTCAAGCCGTCAAGCGCATAGCACGGTTCAGAAACGCTCGAATTTGTGGATGCTTGTTCTCTCGTCAATTCCATCGCCAGAGACTCACAGTTCCATAAAAACAGCTTGCATACCATCCATGTTCATCTATGGAATACAGTATCTATCCTTACATGGTGTGTTTCTTTAACCTATGGAAACCTATAGAAACCAATAGAAACCTATAGAAACATGTACATGGATAATTGACTTGGCATGACTTGGCACATATTGGCGCTCCAGGCACTCCAGATCCGCCCCATTTTTTGGAATCATTGGCTGAAGACATCCGGATCTCTCACCCAGAGCCCCGGAACCTGAGAAAACTGCTGGAACATCATCAGGTGACAACAAGACTTCCAGCTCTACAGATGTAGAATTAGTAAATGTAAATAGCTGCTGTTTGAGGAGGATGAGTGGTGTAGGTTGAACAGCCCAATCTGCATGATATCATACAAGTATGTGTATATATAATAATTATATATATATACACCTGTGACTGGGGAGTGACAAAGTAGGATACTATGAACCCAAAGAAACAGGTTCAGTTGTGTTTTAATTTAACTTTAGAGATGTAAACAAGTCAAGCTGTACAATGCTCAGTCTGAATGTGCCACTTCTTGCGCTTCTGGGGTTTGAGCCAGGACTGGAAATACTTCATTGTCTGGAAATCTGGCAGCAGCTGACCAACAACATTGATCCTTGTTTGTCAAATCATACATAAACCATGCACTTGTCAGGTAGCCGTCTGGTAAGATTAAACATGATTAAACATTGCCACAAAACGCATCCATTTTGGACGGGAAAGCATCAATGAACTTCATACCTGGCGAAAAATTCATGGCCAGACTAGATTACTGGAGGATATCCCAATTTGTTGAAGGTGAAAGACGTTTTTTGGGCTGCTCAAAAGCCTGAGGTCCCAAACTCCAGCACCACCCGGCCTGGGTGTAATTGGAACATCAACCCAATAGGGGAAATTGTGGGAACAACCCAAAGAATGGGGAGTTATACCCAAAAACTGTGGATTTAACGTTCTAACATGGGGATATCATGGGTATATCACTAGTGGCCATGTTTGATTACCCGAGGGTAACAACAATCTTGTGGTGATGTTGAAAATGTACTTTCAAGTCTCAAGATGGGACATTCACCAATCCTTTTTCATAGACCATCAAACGCAGGATTTTGGGGGCACACGGCACATGTTTCTGATGAACTCGTAATATCTCGTAATTAGGTCACCATTTTGAACCATGTTTTCAACTATACAAATAATATTAAAGTAAATGTATGTATATCTATATCTACACACATAATAAGGGTCCATTCTGCACGGCCAAGATGAACAAATGAACATTGCCCTTTATACACTTGGACGTCCAATGCTTCAGGCCACAAAGCAAGAAGAAAAGCGACGGATGGAACATGTGAATCATCATCAAATCTAAATATATTATATATATATATATATATAAGTATACAAGTATATATTATCAGAATATCTATATTATATATTATATATATATATATATCCATGATAAAATGTACGTACATTCACCAAAGTGAAGAAAACAAACAAAGTACAGTTAAATCCTTGGATTTGTCAACTTCTTCTCCTTAAGGGCCGGACCTGGCCCCTTCCGGTGTCGGCCCAGGTTGCTGTCCCGGCACCTGCCGCAGAAGTGGATTTGCCTCATCCATCTGGACAAAAAAATGAAACCACCAAACATGTCCTGGGTGTATTTGTCATTTTTAGCGGTTCTGTAAGTATGTATATATATATATACACATATGCATATCTGAAAGTTTGTATTTTACATAACATATAAAATCATGCATAGAGTATCTTTGAATATATAATATCTGTTGTACAGTGAGCTGATTATGACCATGGTTGTCAACCAAAGTCAAATCACCTGGGACGCCCATGGATGTCCCCTCAAACATGCAGGGCAGCCATAGGCACTTCAACAATCTTCACTATGGATTTTGTCTGAAAATAGTGTATCCAAAAATGTCATGATTAATATTGATTAAGCAGATATATATATATATATATCATGATATATATATATATATGTATATCATATATCATCATGTTCTCTATCAACTGGCCCATTTGGAGGTTCCATCCTTGCAACTCCGAGCGGCCTTTGGCATCTGGGACACCTGCGGCTGACATAAGCTTGGAATTAGCATGCAATAAATTGCCATAAAGGAACGATAAAAATGAAACCACCAACAGCTACATCACTTTATTAAGTGTGTTTCCTTTTGGGGCACAAGTTTGTTGACGTTTTGGATCAGTTTTGTGAGCTGTTCGGTGTCCATTTTGACATAACGTTAGGAGGTCCAGTCATATTCCACGGATCTCCATTGGGGCCACTATAGATGCTATGATTGGAACATATTGGAACCATCCAATTTCTGGGGACCATTTATGCCATTTCTGTTCAGTAAACTATGGATAAAAATGGATGAACATGGTGAAAACAAGCGTCCAATTTTGATACCCTCTGGTAAACTGTTACATAACTATGGAAAATCACCATTTTTAATGGGAAAACTCACTATAAATGGCCATTTTCAATAGCTATGTTAGTTTACCAGAGGGTATCTCAAAGGTTTGATCATCAAATGACCCCAGCCCCGGCCTTCGAAGCTTCCTGTAGCAAGCCTGGCAGGCATTTGTTTTTCATGGCACCGAGCTCTCGAGAAGCATGGCCTTTGTGACAAAAATAGCTGCCCTAAATCCACAGGAAATGGATGGCTTACAATTGTGTAAATGATACTTTAACTCATCCGAATAATCAATGGATTATAAATTATAGTCTGTAATAAACCATTGATTATAATCTGCAATGGTTGATTCCCTCCATGCGACACATCCTACAAGTACTAGTAGTCAATGGATTTCCTGTTCTACATCCCGACAAATGCCAACGCAGTGCCGGCAGAGAATTGAAAGTTCAGCTCTTGAAAAAGATAAATCCGCCGTCATCTCCACAAAATCATCACCTGCATCTTACAGAGTCTCTCGTTTCATTCACCTACTGTAGGAAATCCTGAGCAGTTGACAATCTACCTTTCTACTGGGATTCTCGATGGGTCAGGGACCCTTTAAGGTCCTCAAGATGCCCTTTGATGACCGACGACCTCTTGACCGATCAAGTCCAACAACATGTTTGTTGCGAGTGGTACCCAGAAATTTTCGGGTATCATGAGCCATGCCGAATTAGGGTTTATTATTCAAATTCCCTAAGATCAAATTCCTTCATATGGGCCCTCATAAATAACAAAATCCAATACGGAACCAGTTGTTCCGGCGAGGCAGGTGTAACATTCATATCCCATTCATATCCCAGTCTTTGTGGAACATCACCATTACTGTCCAATTGTTGATGGAACATCACCATGAATATCCCATTCTTTATAGAAAGTCTCTACTGTACCTAACATGTGGTTGGAAAACTCTTGGTAGCTCCTTGCTTCCCCATTTAATAGGGAAAGTATGGGAAAGTAACCATAGCTCCTTAGTTCCTAACCTCTGGATAGTTACTAGCGTCCAATTTTTTTCATCGATATCTTGGATTTGCGGAAATCCAACAAAGATTCCCCTCAAACGGTGGATGTCCCATGGGGAAAATCAAAAAAAAACCACCAGGTTTGGAAGCCTTCGACTCTCGACAGGGAGTTGGTGAAGCCAATGAGCATCTCATGGGCCGACCTATCAGCTGTTGAGATATGAAGCACCGCTTTGAATATGGTAATTTAACCATCAAAAATATGGAAATGAATTGGGGATATTTTGGCCACCATGAAATAATATCCAATATGGTTTTTCAATGAATGTTGACATTTAGGCCATTGTTTTTTCTGGAGTTTTGCCATTCAAAATCGCTCCATGGGGATTCACATCCCTTTCCGGGAATAGCTGGGTAACCACAGATCTCGCAGATGGTTTCATATGGTTTCAATTTCAAAATCCTTGGTTTAGCTCAGTGAAACCTGGATTTAAGGTTTCTCAGAATTGGGTTACTTATAGCGATTGTTGTCCCTATCCAAATTCAAAGATTTGGGGTAATATTGGGGTCGCGCATGGTAAGAAATCCCCATATTTGGGATACATATCTATATATAAAGTATATAATATGTCCTTCAATTATGTTGACCATTTGGGTGTGTCTGAAAACAGGCTACCCTGAAACATGATTGTTTGGAAAATCATGTTCCATATTGGGGTTGCCATATATTGGTGGCAGATCCTCAACTTTCATGCAAACCAACTTACCATCACCATTCTTCATGGTCAAATCCCTATTGTTGCTGGTTTCATCCCTATTGTTGATGGCTGAATCCACATTCTTAATTGGTTAAATCCACATTTTTGAGTTAAATCAACATGTTTCATGGGTTACATCACTATTCTTCAATTTAAATCACCATTTCTTCACCACTTTTCATCGGTTAAATCGCCATTCTTCACGTTTTTCCGTGTGTTTTTCACCCATTCCAGCGACAGCTGGCCATCCTTCGGGCGCGGACTCCAGGCTGATTCGCATGCGCCGCGAGGGGTTGAAGCCCGTGGGGTCGATCAGCAGCTTCTCCACGTGCCTTGCCAGGGCTGCTCCAAATATCCACCGGATATTGTCACAATATCATACAATATATCTATGACGCCGTTTCGCTCTCATGCCAGCAATGCCGCACTGATAACTTTTCACATGCAAGAGCTCTTGTTTGAGCGCTGTATCATCGATCAAGCAGCAAGTGTAGGCACCATCCTTTGGAAAAAAGTGCCATCCAAATTGATATTTGAAACTTGCACCAACCCCTATCCACTATCACAAAGTGCACTGGCCAAGGAAGTTGAAACTGCAGTGCAAAACAGAACAGGATAGGGCTGTGCCCTCATTGTCCACCATGTCCCACTAGGGTCTTTGCCAGAAAGTATGATATGACGTCGGCCAGAGGCGCTACATCGGCCATGCATGACATGACAGCAGTGTAGATTGGCATTTTTCGTATGTTGAGATGCAAGGAATGATAGCCCCAATGCGCCAAGCGGCTCCGTAAACCAATCATCCAGCGTTCTGCCCACGTACATTGCGTGTTGCATTCCGTCCTAGTGGACCATGGTGGACCATGGTGAACCATGGACCAGACTTGGGCACGGTCAATTTCCACAGCCATTGGATTTCAAGCTTTTGTTGTTTTCATAACTATGGTAACAAGCTATGGCATCTAACACTATATAACTTGTTATAGTATGTTATAGTTACAGAACTATATGGGATGGTAATGACCTCCATAAGTTGGGATATGGGCTCCTACAACTATGGCTATGGAAAACCGCTTATTAGTGGAACTGCAGGCCCAAAATCCTAGTGAGTCAACGGCGAGGTCTGAGGTGAAACGATGAAACATGGGGAAACCATACCCCCTAACGACCATCCCCAAAGTGAAGAGAATCTCCCCAATTTGAAGGTGTTTGATTTTCACCCACAGCCATATGTTGAGACTTCTGACACGCCGTTCTTGGCTGGTTCCAGTATTTCACTTTCCCAGGTTGTACCAATCTCATCACAAATTGAATCCGCAAGGCACAAAGACTGAGTCCACTTGACAAGAGGCCCACCGAAAAGGTGAATTTGGGTTGATCAGTCCAAAGAAATGATTGAAAGTTAAGACTCTTTGGAACTAAGCAGGTCCCAACCTCAGAATTCTCATTTGCCCAGACCATTCATCCCATGTCCCAATTCTCACGTCCTGCATGAAACGGATTTCTGGTGGGAAAGCACCAAGTAGGATTTGTGCCTGACAGGGCGTCACGGCCTGGAAACTGCCTGGGGCGCTTTTCACTCAGCAACGCTATCCAACGCTGGTCCAACGCTTGTGGTCCAAAATGATCAATCAAAATGGTCCCACTCGATTGGACACTCCGGTTATCTGCTATCTGTGGCTGAACTCGTGGGGGCCAACGGGGATGTCCCCATGACGTCCTGTGCCAAGCTTGAAGTCGGCGTTGCCAACTCTGCTTGTAGAAGCTCCACCTGCCGAAACATGGGGAAAGAGGAATCATTCTGGAAGACCCCGATAGTATCTAATAGCCCCCACAAAGATTACTTTTAGTAATGGACTATTATTACTATTATTTGAGTATCAGACTTCTCATGACTTTTCTATCATCTGGATGGTTGCTAGTTGATGTGCCAGTGAAAAAAACATTTTAAAAAAACTGTGGTGTCACAAACTCGGTCCCGCATCAAGAATTTGTTCAGTTTTCCGGACCCATGTTCAACCCCAAACTTAGGTTTTAAATCTAAATCGTTACTTTCTATTCATGTTTATCGTTACACCCTAAAGATACAAGAATCTGGGTACAGTAAATTATAACAGTTCACTAACCTGAATAGTTCGGCCATTTTCATGGGGATGATTTCCCTATAAGAACCATGATTCCAGGGTTCGGGAGAACAGGGTTCGGTCGTTATAATCTACCAAGATAATCATCTATTATCATCTATTATCATCTATTATCATCTACTATTCCATGATTAGCTATACATTCCCATTTATTCCCATATATTGTTGGTTATAGGGGTATAGCAAATTTGATCCAGTGTTCACTACCCAATGCCCCCACGTCCACCCCAAATTCACCTGTCTTTGGAGCTTCATAATCTCCATCGCACGGCGACGAACCTCCGCCTGAAGGATGGAAGCAAGCCTCCAACTCAAGGGGCTTCAGCTATAGACATGGTGAATTTCAGCTTTGAAACATCTGGCATGTACAGTATATATATATATATACATTATATATATAATACTGTATATAGATAAATAATGATAGATATGTATGTATATATATATAATGTATGTATTTTTTGAGAGCGGAAATTGCTCTACGTTTCGTAATCCACCCCGGCATAGGATACAAAATGATGATTTTTCTCTATATCGAAGCTGGCTTGCCAGGAGATCCCCTGGTTCCGAATCTTTGATGGATAGATCACCATTACTCATTACTCGATCTCCTGAAAAACACTCGCCCATTTTATAGGTAGTTGATATCCAATAGCATACAAAGAGAGTTAAATATGGTATAATACCATATAATACCATATTAGCAATCTATTTGTGTGCTGTAATCATTACTGTATCGGCAAGCGATCTAAGATACATATCATCCCATCATGGAAATCCCATCAAAACGGGTATCCAGCCCCCTATGAAATTCATGGATGATTCCAATCTCCCAAGCACTGGGTCATTGTATCATCAAATATCTGAGTATAGTTGGTTGATGTTGGTTGTATATCCAATCTGGCTGAATTATATTCATTCACGAAGCTGAAAATCTGAAATCAAGCCATTTGGGAAATGATTTCCCTTGAGAATCATCAGCTCAGTGACGTCACGCGAGGTCATTGTAATTCATTCAGATCCCATGAAAATTTAGCATCTTTACCAGTTACTCATGGGGATATTTAATTTTGGCACCATTGTTTCCATCCATTACTAATAAGTAGTTACTCTTGGTTAGTTTATATTTCAGATCTGAAACATAATTAATGAGATGCTCGTGGTTACTATTCAGATAATCGCTTTTATCTCTATGGAGGTTCTAGCTGAGAAAATCATCGAAAATGGTGGATTTTCCAGCAAGCCAGGGAGCTGATGACACCGGTAACCACAATTTTAAAGCGAGAAATCATTAATTTCAGATACCTCATGGCTAACTAGAATGTGTAACAAATCTGGAAATATACCATCAATCAATCGCAATCAATCATCATTCAATCACCATCCATAGATTTTATAGTGATACTCATGGTTGAGAATATCTATGAATCTTTAAGATTCTAGTATAAATCTGAGGCAGCTGATATTACCTTAGTTACCCCCTCTTATGATTGAGAACTCCTTGATTTTCACCATGTTTCCTGCTTAAAACGGCACATCTACGCTGCGCCTCTGCCTCCATGGCGCTCATCGAAGACATCTGCGTGTGGGTTGCTGTGTCGTTTTGCGGTGAGGGGCCAGGGGGCTGAGAAACATCAAAAAAATACCGACAAAAGGAACAGAAAATATATGGAATTCATATGGGTTTCATATTGATGAATCTATAAACGCGTGTTTATGAATGATAAACATGACACGATAGATTGATATATTCATACAAATTATTCATCTATATATCAAAAATTGAATATATTCATCAATTATTCATCATACTAATTATAATCATACTAATTGATATTATTGAGTATGTGATGGTTATTTAAAAAAAAAAACTGAACATGCACTTTTCGCCCCGCCTGGAGGTTCGGGGTCCACGCCTGGTAGGGGCCCATGGCCATGGCTTTTGTGAAGTCCATCGAGAAGGGTGATTCGCCATGAAAAGATAGGGATTTAAACATGGTTTAAGCATGTTTTAGCCATATTTTACCAATGATATTTACATAATGTTGATATACCAACAATATCCAACAATACTTGGGATACTTTATCTTTCCTCCAGCACCTTTTTTGGGTCAAAACTGCCAGGTGATGCCTGGAAAGCACAGAAATGTGTGAAATGTGAGGATCCCTGTTCAAGCTTTAAAATCTTATGATGTCTGGCAGCCAAGGGTTAGCCTCTGCTCGATTTTGACCAGGCACCTGGGGGGGTAGCGTGTAGCCAGCAGAACTACCTCGAAACACCACAAACGCTTTCTCAGTCAGTTCATCTCAGTTCAGTGTCTCCAACTTGGGTCAAAGGTGGTGACGCAGTGGTCAGAGTGTGGATGGTTGCGAAATCGTGCACCACCAAAAGTATGGTTGAACTAAGTTGACATCCTATAAATAATGGGATGTTTACCACCTATGAACTAGTGCAGGATTTCTCCAATTTCAGCTCTCCAAATCTGCTGCTGCTTCCGGGAGCCCCTGCCAGTCGCACTTGACCTGGCGAAGCCCTACCAGGTGGTCTACAAGACATACATTAGAAAGTGATGTGCACAATTTGTATGTATTTTAGTGATATGGAGAAATGCACATCTATATTTATGAAAATATACATCTACTACAATATAATTGAATACAATATATCACAATAGAATATATAATATTACAATAAAATATAATACAACATACTATACTCTACTCTACTATACTATACTGTACCATGCTATGCTGTACTATAATATAGTATCATATAATATAGTATAGTATAGTATGATATAATACAATATATAGTATAATATAATAAAGTGCAATATAATATAGGGTAATATAGTAGTATAAAGTATGTAAATACGCAAAAAGATATAATATAAATGTATGTATGTATATATATATATGCATAAATATCAGTCATGTAAATATACAGACAAATATTAATGAATAGAAATACAACTGCAAATAGTAAGTATAATATCTGGGTAAATTATAACGACCTCACTGCGACCTCACTGGAATCATGGTTAATAAGGGGAATCATCCCCAAATGGCCTTAATTCAGGTGTGTGAAATATTGTAATTTACCCAGATAATATATAATATGAATATATAATATACTGTCATACAATATAATATACTGTAATATAACATACTACTATGACTATAATATGACTATAATATGACTATAATATGACTATAATATGACTATAATATGACTATAATATGACTATAATATGACTATAATATGACTATAAGGCAATACATATATATATACCATATATATAATATATACCATATATATATATATACCATATATATATATATTTATTATTTATTTATATTTATACATACGTACCCCCTAGCATCCCATGTTTGTGGTTTGACCGTTTCACCCACAGCGCAGCAATCCGAACGTCCATCGCACCTGTCATCGTCACGCTGGGAGGCACGAGCATCATCCTCCATTGCAGACTTAACATGGGTCAAAGGCTCACTTAGGACGACTTTTTCACTCACTTAGGACGATATTTTGAGATGTGGACTTCAACCTTCAGGGTTAACTCCATTGGATACAGACCTTTAGGGTAACACTTGGGGACACCGGGCTGGGACATGGGGTGGGTTTAGGGGACCAGCATGGTGGATCCTGATACGTTGTAACATATTCTGCAAGTCACTTTCAAGACGTCCCTGATACGTTGTAACATAACATTCAAGTAAGATGCGCAGAGAGACTGACGAATCTCTACTTGTCACCTGTGATTCAGCATGAAATGCATGTGTCAGCATATGATTCAATGACAATGTCCTGATGATCATCTCTAACACACATGTACAAGCCTCTTGAAATCATGTTCAAATCCATCGATATATCTTTCTATTGAGACTGTAGCCATATATCATCGATGTAGTCCTAAGCGAGAAAATACGTAGGCCTAAGCGAGGTACTGACCCTCAACATGGGAATCCAACCAACTGTACTGTGGATATAACTGGGGCATAATGGGTTACATCACCAACTTGATCTGATATTTGGATATATTTGGATATATTATGATATATTTGGTTGTGTTTGAAAATGGGGCTATAGACGCCAAATATAGCAGGGGTGGAACGAAGCCTCACCGAAGACCACGATGTTCAGAGACTCACCTGGCAGCCCCTGGCACTTGACCACGATGGAAAACGTTCTCCCAAAGTGGTGTTGAAAGATCATAAAATCATCTTCTCAGCCATCATCTTTGGAAAATTATTGGAAGAATGTACCCAATAAACATGGTGTTGGAAGTTGTGTTGGAAGATGACTTCACTATTGGAAGATGATTGTAAGTGCTATTGGTAGATGAGTTTGTCTATTTTCCAAGTGACCATGCTTGGGATTGCTTGGGGCCGCCTTTGGAAAAGGATTTTACTGTGTTGAAACTTGCAGAAAATCCATGGGGCTGAAGAGCCATGCAACTTCACGGGTATGATGCATGACTTCAACCACTTGGAATTTCATAGCTGGTTAATGGATGGCTATTCCCCAAATATGGTAATAATTAATAGGTTCTGAATGGTTTTGACCAAAAAAAATGATTTCATGAGAATTCACAGCTTTGCACGGCCTATCGTGGTGAAATCCCATCATGATATATCATAATTCAAGTTTGGACCCATAAGTTTCAACCCCAAGATACCCTCATTGGTGGGAAGGACCGGGAAGGACACTTCCACCAGTCCGTTCGTGCGACAACCAACTTCTCACTTCTTAGGGCTCCAGGTTAGAGCAGCCGGTGTCCCACAAGCTGTGACCAGCAAAAAGAAATGACCGGAGTCCCACAAAGATTCACGTTGAACCCAAACTTCTCAGGTCCATCCCTAGTTCATCCCGGTGCCTGAGGGTCCTTCAATGGTTCCAGATCCGATCGAGGCCTGTGAAAGCAGGAGACTCTCCTGTCCCAACTCCAAAAAAACTTGCCGACATGGCCCGACAATGTGCTATAGCTTCCCCTAGAATTCCAATGATCATTGGATTAAATCCCCAAATTCCCAAAATTCATCAACATTCCAGTGGTCATTGGATGAAATCATCCATATGTTCCCATTAAAAAAAGGAAACGCATGCCGGCCCAAAAAAACACCGCCTCTGGACGCGCCACCTCGCGTGCGTGCAGGTCATCCTGGCCATGGAGATGAACTAGGGATTTATAGGGATATATTATTAGGGGTTATTATAGGGATTATTATTAGGGGTTATATAAATTTATGGAGATGAACTATTTTCTTGTTAGGGGTTGTTAAGAATCATCTAGAGACTCTACATTTAGAGGGAGTTATAAACCAACATATAATTTTCAATAAATTCGGGGCGCCCTTCCTGTAACGAAAAGATTCTGTCTCCAAGATCTACAGCTGACCCACTCAGAGAGGTGCCATCTGATGATGGGATTGCTGGCTTCCCAGGTTCCTTTTTGGGGATACCCAAAATATGCTCAAATCATCTAAAAGTCCACCATTTTAGTATTGAAACCCATCATTTTGGGGTACCATCATTTTAAACAAACCTCTAAATATGTTCATGGTTGGAAATGTTGTCCTGTTTGGTGGATGCATCGTACCTTTAGAACGCTATGGATGTCCATGGATATCCTGAACAGCGACAGTGCTGGAAGAAAAGTTGGATCAACCCCACTTAGCCGAAGAATGCCTGAAATCTCCTTGAAACATCTTCGAAATTTGATTGGGTATGTCTTTGTGGCTTTACGACCACTGATCCCAAATTTGGACATACAGTACTGTATATCTATAGAATTCTATAGATACGTATAGGAACAGCCCAAAAAGAATCAAAAAGATAGAAATGGTCATTTCCCACGACGTAGGATTTTACTTGTTCTCTCTCTTTTTGGGCTATCTTTTAAGCTAAGAATTCTAATAATCACCCAAACACCCTGTGAGTCCATTGGTGCCCCCAGCAATTCGTCCACCTCGGCAGCGGGCTCACCTGGCCTGAAACAACATCGGCCAACAAGCCATCATCCAATTGCGAAGCACACTAAATGGAGCATACCCAAAGGTCGATGGGGCACTTTTTTTTGTCTATGGATCCACAAGAAAAAAAATAGGCCAGTAGGCCAGTTGCTAAATCCATGTTGAGGCCCAGGTTTTTTTGCAGCCCATGGCCAAGACCCCACAGGTAGACTGCTGGCCTCGTAGCCTCTGCAACTGCAGCAGTATTACCCATTGCCAAGCACGCGGACAAGGGTAGGCTTTCCCTAGGTCTATTGGAACTCTGTAGAGGCTTGAGGTTAGAGAACGTCTGAGACATGTGAATCACTAATGCCCAATACATTGCTTGTGTCTATTCCGCGAACTGATTATCTGTCTCATGCCTGCAGTCAGCAGGCTCACAATGACTCCAGTCACGCAGCAATCTTCTTGCTTTCCATTGTTAAGCATCCAAGCTGAAGCATCCACCGGGCGAGAGTACAGTCTGGTGATGTCTGGTGTGGTGGAAAAAAAACACTTTCTAAGCCTTGGAGTGCAAAGTTTCCGACAGCCCCAGGATCCCCCAAACAGAACGGAGGCAGACCTTTTGCTGTCACATCAAATTTGATGATTCTCAACCCAAAAAATTGGCTGACTCAAGATCCACGATCTTCCAAGATCATCCCAAAGCAAAAAAAACTGAAGTCTTCCTTCAGCAACCCACGTGGGTGCCCATGTCACAGTTGCAACTTTTCCCGTGCACTACTGCGGCATGGGTGGCAGCTCATGAACCTGCCAGGGGGACATGCCTAATTGCTTGTGAGTTTAAGTGTGATGGATCCCAAAATTGCATCTAAGTGCTATAATTCCCAACCCCAATTGAATGGATTAATGGCAAAGTAGGCTTGACTTATCACAATCAAACGCAAATTATCAACCAGGCTCTATTTAGTTAAAGTGGTTTGATGTATCAATATTATTATATGTTCGTCATTGTTCGTCTATTTGATAAATTAGTGGGGTTGAAGTAACCCCTGGTTGGTTATGTAATTTAGTAGCAATTTAGTAGCAACTCAATTACCTCATTAATTATATAATGGGTTTGGTGATAATTTGCTCCTTGAATAAACAACCCAGGGGTAAATCAAAATCTCGTGTTGACATTGCAGACTAAACGTACGGGATACTTCCACCATCTTCCCTTGAATAGGGATCAAAAAAAACTAAAAAACAATCTAATCACATATACAAGTAGCATCAACCAGTCAGCAGTTTTTAAGAGGCTGTAACAACCATCCTGGTTCTGTGGATGAGCCAGCCATCCAAAAGCACCTCTGGCACCACTGCAGCAGCGGCAGCCAGTCCCGCCAGCTGCTGTTGTTGCAGGGTGGGGCCTCAGTGACTCTCCCAGTGATCCCTGGGTTCCTGCGACAAACTTCGAGTTGTAAAAGAGATTCTCTATGGATTCCCAAAATAAGTGGGATCCATGGGAAAACTTTGACTCAGCAAATCCAAGCATGTCCTTACAAAGTTCAATGGCAGTGGGCTGGAGTGTTTTCCATGACAAAGGATCAGGCTTCTTAGCTAAAGGACCCATTCCCCCATTCCCCCATTCTCCCATTATCCCATTCCCTTGTGACAGCTGGCTAATGGAGTCGTTCCAATCTGATGCGTCCTTGTAGAACTTCTTCACCCAGTAGCGCATATCCATGGACTGCAGGATTGCCAGGATTGCAATGCAAAGTGACCAGTTGGTTGATACAATCTGGTGGAAACTCCTCAAGTTGGCCCTAACTAAAACAAGGTGTCTGCATGGTTTTTTCCCATCAACATACGCATCACATCCTGAATCCCTAAGATTTAAGGGTCTCAATCTTGATAACCTTGTATCTTGACATCTATATATATAACTTAATAACGCAGAGATACTGTATGTCCAGTATATCTCTAGGCTACATATTCCAATCAATTCCAATCAGGGCTACATAGTGCCATGGTAGCCTGAGCAGAATTTCTCTTGGACAGTTTATGAAGAGTTGTAGCAACTACAGCATACCCCCTAAATTGGGATGCGCATGCTTCCACATGGCAAAAGAACACAAACAAAAACACTCACAAAGTACGAATGAATCGATGAGACACGAAGTCATTCGCATATCGAAGACAGGGAAGTTGCAATCATAGTAGTGTTCACAAAGCGGTTTATTGGGAAGTTTCCAGCACAATCACGAATGCAAAGGCAATATAACGACTGATCTTTTCCCACAGGGATCACCATGGTGCTGCAGTCGCCATCAATTTTGCATCGGTGAAAAAAGAACATCAATACCTATACTTTACAGATACATCGTATGTATACATACAGACAAATATATTTATATGGTTATATCAGCATATATATGATATAAATGCATATAGAGAGAGAGAGAGAAAAAAAAACATATGTTTTTATTTTTTATATGTATGTATATATATATACAACTAAATAAACATATGATTATATATATAGATAGAATGTTATATATAGATAATCATATGATCATTATATATAGAGAATCATCTGATTATTATATATATAGAGAGAGAATCATATGATTAAAATGATGTGTATACATACATAGATATATATATATAATAATAGTAATAATAATAATATCATTATATACATATATTATATACTCACGTCAATACAATATTATAGAAGATGTCAAGCCTGAACCAGACGCTTCCACTCTCAAAATCCAAACTGCAGGATCGCTTTCCCCTTTCGACTTCACGATCAATCTCATGGAATAGGAAGTGGAAGAACTCATGATGTGGTAAACCCCTAAAAATATATAACATTATATAACCTCCAAGTTTGGAGAGTTTTCACCACCGATTTCTGGTGATATTCGGGATGGTTTATTAATTCTAGTATGACATTGATCCATATTTCTTCTAGTGCGGAGTTACCAATTCAGCGCAATCCTGCATGCAGTTTCTCTGTCAATTCATCTTTTTCCACCAAAGGCGGTTCACCAGAAGCCATCGAAAGTGGAACATGAAACGTTCATCTGCAATAGTGAAAACCTGAAACAGAAGACCAACCCCAAGAGTGACTCATCTTCGGAACACTACGCAGTACCCCCTGATATTCGAATATCCAAAAATAATAAACGCACATAAATGATGTGAAATTGGAGAGTTTGGTTTGCCAAAGATCAGATTCCTGTGGAGTTTCTCTTGTTTGACATTCCTTCTTCTAAACCTTTCATCCAGCCACAACCAGCCATGTCAGATGCCACTTTCAACGGCAGGGCGGCGGCCGCCCGCGGCTCATGGTCAATGCATCCTCCTGCGGCAGTCAAAGTCGGGGTGCTCCAAAAGGGATGTTTTTTTGACATCTTACCCTCTGGTAAACTAAGTGATTTTCCATAGTTATGTTAAATTACCAGAGGGTAATCCAAGACACTATGAAAAGGATCCACTTTTTGTGGTCCCTTAAAGTTTGACCCAAGCTCCAACAACCAGCACAACCTGTTCTTATAGTTCTTGGCCTCATAAATATACATAAATATAGATACAAAAAATATAAATAAATCTAAATCTGGTTAGATATGAATACATATTTACAGCGTTATACATATATAATTCTATATAATTATATATATATGTTTTTGTGATATGTATTCAGCCGATGTTTCGGAGTCCCCGAATCCTTGGCCCATGGCGTATCACGTCTCTGCTTTGTCTTCCTCGGACGATGCCTAGCGACGGAAACCAGCGGAACAGCAGACGAAGGCCATGGAAAAGGTGGGTCATTGAATCAGTACAACAAAGGGGATAGATTGATAGATGGGGATATAATGTATATATATATACTGTGCATATATACAATGTGATTCTAATATGATGTAATGGGATATGTAATGATATATAATTTTGATGGGAATATACCCTCTGGTAATCAATCATGGTCCACTGCCACGTTTGATTTCCGAAGGATGTGATATGCCAACTCTCCATTCATGTGCTACTACAGTTATATATTATTAGGATGTCATATGTTATTATCATATTCTGATTTATGAGCATATTTCCCTTCTCAAGTCATATTTTGTTATCATAAAGGAAGATGCTCCTAGCCTGTCGGGTCAGTTGACTCTTCTTGTTCAGCAAATGGCCTGCAGCGAGCCAGGGCGGCAGGCGGGCATGGTCACAACCCTGGGTGTTGCTGCTATGACAGCCCCAACACTCTGGTAAACAAGTAGGGGTTCCATAAATGGAGTTACCCCAATAGCTGGATGGTTTTTGTTACAGAAAATCCCATGAACAAAATTGATGGTTTTTGGGGTACCCCCATGACTTAGGAAACCCCGTAGAGTTGGAAGTGGACCAAAAACAATATGCTTCCAAGCGGAATACCATCTGAGCTGCCAGTTGGGATCTGGTTTGCTGGAAGACCTCCCATTTACTTCGATGAATTTCCCAGCTAACGAAACCTCCATATTTGGTGGATTTTCCAATGTTTTTACATTGAAACCCACCATTTTTCATGAACATTTCCCAGTACCCCAGCCGTAACAGTCGGTGCCTTTGCCAAAGACTTGCAGCAGCTGCGATGTCAGAGATTGCGTCTCCTCCTGCGAAAGGGAGGCTGGTACCCCAATAGCTGGATGGTTTTTGTTACAGAAAATCCCATGAAAAAAATGAATGATTACTGGGGTTACCCCCATGATTTTGGAAACCTCCATTTAACAAAGAGTACTTAAACTGATTTAGCCTCATCTAGCGGACCTAACACTGGGGATTAAAGTAATCGCTCGGGATTCAAAGGCATGGATGTTAGCGACATGAAAATGAATTCAACTGACAGAATCTTGGGGAGGGGTATGGAAATTCCCAACGAATAAAAAAGAGATTCACATGGACTAAAGCAAGTGACACCACGCTTTGAACGGAACACTGCGAGTATGCCAGTGGTCCAGAACCAAACCAGGCCTTGTAGATTTTCTCGTACCGTTCAGGATCACCCTCAGCCGTAAAGGCATCGATGACGATGGTGGTGAACATGTTCCTGAAGGCTGAAGGCAAGGACGGCCACGGGGCAGCAATTTCGCATTTTGATGGTGTTTTCCTTTGTCGCGGACGGTCATCATGATGATCATGATAAAGAACATTATCAATATGTGTCATATTATCTGTATATATATATACATATAGAATTATATAGATTTATATTTACTATACATATATTATACGGAATAGATTGATTGGTAAACGCATATCGATAATATTGGCTATTGTTGGATATACATATGCATCATTTTATTTATCTTGATTCTCAGCTGCGTATCCTTCCCGTACCAAGTCACAAGATGATGGTCACCGCAAATACTGTGTAGAAGAACAGTGCTGCATGCAGATGGCTACCTGGTTTTTTCCCGCATTTCGAAAAGGGAATTGCTGGAGTGGAAAAAACATGAAAAAAATTGGCATCAATCAAGTCGTAACCTGTATCCTACCACCTGCACATGCAGAATGGATAAGTGTATGTGTATTCTATATATATAGTTTAGATAAATACCAGATAGATCCAGATAGTGCCCGGCACGCGCCGGGGTGGAAGTTTCGAAAATTGGAAGCGGTTATATGAAATCAATGGCCTAAAGGAAAGGTTTTGCAATGCAGAAGTAATGAAGTATTGAAGTTGTGAGGTGCATCAACGGATAGCAGATGGTTGCTGAGATGACAATGAAAAGAAAAATCCATGCACAGCTCACTGAATGCACAATGAACCTAGATATCAACAAATCAATGAATCAGTGGATCAATAAACCGACAAATCAACAATTCAACAAATAGATGAACCAGTGAATCAACGAACCAATGAATCAACAATTCAATGAAATAACGGAACAATGAAACAGCAAATCAATGAACCAATGAATCACTGGTTCAACGAAGCAATGAACCGATGAATCAGTGAATCAGCGAATCCGTGAATAAACAAACCAATCATTGAACGATCCAGTGAGCCAATGATCTAACGAATCAACGAACCAGTGAGTCAGTGAATGAACCAGTGAGTCAGTGAATTAACGAATCAATGAAACAATGAATCGATGGTTCAACGATTCTGCAGGTCAATCAGTCAATGAATCAATGAATCAACAAAGCAGACTCATTGAATCAATGGTTCAGCGATTCAGTGGGTCAATGAGTCCATGAACCAATGAATGAGTCAATCAACGAATGAGCGAATGAACGAATGAACGAATGAACGATAGAACAAATGAACGAATGAACGAATGAACGATAGAACACACGAACGAATGAACGAATGTAGGAATGAAGGAATGAAGGAATGAAGGAATGGAATGGAATGGAATGGAATGGAATGGAATGGAATGGAATGGAATGGAAATGAAAATGGAAATGGAAATGGAAATGGAAATGGAATGGAATGGATGAATGGGAACGAACGAATGAATGAATCAATGAATGAAAGAATGAAAGAATGAAAGAATGAAAGAATGAAAGAATGAAAGAATGAAAGAATGAATGAATGAATGAATGGATGAATGAATGAATGAACGAAGGAACGAAGGAATGAGGGAATGAAGGATAAACGAATAAAGGAATGAAGGAAGGAAGGAAGGAATGAGTGAGTGAGTGACTGAATGAATGACTGAATGAATGAAGGAATGAATGAATGAATGAATGAAAGAACGAATGAATGAATAAATGAATGAACGAATGAATAAATGAATGAATGACCGAATGACCGAATGAATGAATGAATGAATGAATGGAATGAAATGAAATGAAATGAAATGAAAATGAAATGAAATGAAATGAAATGAAAATGAAAATGAAATGAAATGAAATGAAATGAAATGAAATGAAATGGAATGGAATGGAATGGAATGGAATGGATGAATGAATGAATGAATGAATGAGTGAATGAATGAAAGAATGAATGAATGAATGAATGAATGTATGAATGAATGAATGAATGAATGTATGAGTGAATGAATGAATGAATGAATGAATGAAAGAATGAATGAATGAATGAACGAACGAACGAATGAATGAATGGATGAATATATGAATGAAGAAAGGAAGGAAGGAAGGGAGGAAGGAAAGAAAGGAAAGGAAGGAAGGAAGGAATGGATGGATGGATGGATGCATGAATGCATGAATGCATGAATGCATGAATGCATGATTGCATGATTGCATGAATGCATAAATGCATGAATGCATGAACGCATGAACGCATGACTGCATGACTGCATGACTGCATGAATGCATGAATGCATGAATGCATGAATGCATGAATGCATGAATGCATGAATGCATGAATGCATGAATGCATGAATGCATGAATGAATGAATGAATGAATGAATGAATGAATGAATGAGTGAATGCATGAGTGAATGCATGAGTGAATGCATGAGTGAATGCATGAGTGAATGAGTGAATGAGTGAATGAGTGGATGAGTGGATGAGTGGATGAGTGAATGAGTGAGTGAGTGAATGAATGAATGAATGAATGAACGAATGAACGAACGAACGAAGGAACGAATGAATGAATGAATGACTCAAAGAATCAATGAATCGTTGAACCAATGCATCAACCAGCCAATGAATCAATGAATCAAAAATTTTTGCCAACCTTAGCCTCCAAGAGCGGTCTTTTTTTCAGTTGTTTGCGATTTTGAAGGGCAAATCGAACTCTCGCTACAGTCTCGTGCACATTTTGCCAACTTCATCTTCCAAAAGTGCTCCGATCCCCACCCTTTTTTTGCGATTTTGAAGTGCAAAGCAATTTCATTGAAATGCAAGTCGGGCTCTGGCTACAGTCTCGTGCGCATTTTGCCCACCTCATCTAACATTTTGAATGCTGGATTCGCTGAAGGAACGGTGAGCAAAATGACTCCTCTCCCGAGCCGTTGCTGGCATGCCACCAGGACCCAGAAATCAGAACCCAACAGAATCAAAAGACCAATGTTTCTGAGTAATGCGAGCCAAGCAATAGTAAACCATCCCCAATTTCACCATTAATGGCTGCTATAAACCATCAACATATGGGTGGTTTTTTATTGCTGTACTAACGTCGCATAAAAATCAAAGCAAATTTGGGTGGTGGACCTACAACCCACATCTGACCAAGCAACTTCCAACTTCAATGAAAGGCTTAGAGCCGTAGAGTGCACGTTCGGTGCTGCCGAAGCTGTACAACAGCAAGGTGCAGAACGACCTGCAGTGCAAAGGTTTGAATGGAGCATCCAAGGTTGATCATATTAATGGATAAACGATATGAATGGTCTATTAAACTTGAATGATCAATCAATTATCCAATAACCTTGGTCATTAATATGATTACCCGTTGAACGACGAATCTTACTGGATATTCATGGTCAATTAAGAGATACTGAAAACAAAAACAGCAACCAAACAAGGGCATCAACATATTAATTGAGACCAGGAGTTGCCGACTTGCCACATTTGCCCACTGTGCAGACAGGGGACTCCTGCAAAGAACTGAACCTCGGCCGGGGCTTCCGGGTTTGAGCTGCCGTCAATAGATATCCCTATAAATGGGCCAAGGGGTTAATATGGATGATATGAACCCTCCAAGAAAATGGGTTATGTATCATATTGTATGATTATGTATTAATAGCATTTAATAACCCCTTATTTCACCAACTTCAGGCTGTTCAATAATTCTTGTGATTCCCTGCTGTCGGGCAAGGTGCTGTTGAAAGATGTCGCCAAAGTAGAGCGTCATGATCAGGGAAAAGCCTCCCAGCTGAGTGCCCCAGGTAGCTAAATTGCCGCACATGAGTCCAATTTCACTAGGGTTTATGGGGGTTATATCTACAGTTAAATGGAGATTAGATACCAACTTATAACTGGGGCGTACGAACACCCTGCAGCTGAGGTTTAGTCAAAAGCTGACAGCGGGACCCGTTTGGATTTTTCCGGCGCTGAGAATGTGACACCCGTTCCGTTGTGTTGTGCCTGCAACGAGGCAGACATAGGCGAGAAGAAAATTCTGCAGTTTGTTCTTGGCAAGGAATAGCCTTAGAAAGGCCAAGGGGTACCATGGGCGGAATGGGTGGAATCCAGCCAGCACCGTCCATCGTCCCTTATCCCTTACCACATTGACAGTTGTTTGCTGTCAAGGGACGTCCGTGGGAGCCAATTCAAACGACTTGAGAGGCTGAAAGCCTCCAGAATTCGAAGCATGATCAAACCTGCAGCAGGAGCTGTGATTCTTTGATGCATACCCAAGTGGATTTTGAGTTACGACGGGTATGATTGCTGATGAGGCTTCCACTGTGTTCAGCAGGGGTGCAAAGCAAAGTTGCAGGCTATTGCAGACCCAACCACTGCAGTACCAGCAATACCAATGCGAGTAATCGAATGGTACGCACCATTGCTACCCCCACATCAAGCATCGCAGGTATCTCCCCCCACTCCAAGCCCCGCAAAGTCTGCCCCGCACAGCCACAGCGAACTTTTCCATTCTCCCGCTCCGTGCCGGCCATCCGCGTGTGGCGCAGCAGGGCTCGACATCGTACAGGACCTTCCAGTCTTCGGCGGCATTGCTCGGGCGCTTGACCAGCACCTCAAAGACCTCCTGCCGGGTTCAGATGTTTTAGGGCTTAGAAAATCGTTATAAGCCCCCAAAAAGAGGTGATATTTTTCAGTGTCAGGTGTTGCGACTGAAAAGGGTCCCTGCGATTCCTGTCTCCAAGCACTCGGGCCTCCTTGAGATAGAGTAGGTGCGACATGTTGTTGATCCCAACCACCAAGAAGTGCCCCTGTTCGTCCCCATTCACCGTTTGCCAGAAGCCTGTGCCCCACCTAGGCCGAAGCATCGGGGGGGACGAAAAAACTTGGCAGATATTCTACAATTTTCTCTGACCTGGAATTGGTTTCGGACAGAACACTGCGATGAATCAAACCCAGCTAGTTTTCCTAGAGAGTGTCTCAAGCGATCCCAGGATGCACTTTTGTTTGGCAGAGAGATATCATTGCAGCAAGCTTCAGCAGCTCATGAAGGGATCGAACAACTTTTTTCCACCAAAATTGCGAAACTGTTTCAGGAAAAGCCAACACACGACAACACAGACATAGCCACAAAACACATCAATCTCATATGTGCTCATGGAAAAGTGCCATGACTATTGACACGGAAACAGATTTTGAGAGTTTGCATCTGGTCTGGTGTCTGATGTTTGATCAACAACCTCCGTGTGGCTCGGCTTCAATGCGGTTCTCGGCACTTGCTCATGAGGCTGCCCTTGTCGTTCAATTCAATCCAACCGTTCCTGGGCTCATGGAAGTCCAAAAACACCATCCTAGGGTCTCCGTCTTGGATCAAATCCCCAAAAAAAAACAGCGCTTGGCCATGTTTCCAAATTTGGAAGAGGAAAAACATGGAGAAACGATGTTGGATAGAATTTCCCTTAGACCAATCAGCTGAATTTTGTGTAACGTCATGTAACGTCAACCGAGATGGAGATTTACCCTGGCGGATTTTGCTTCTGATCAGCTATTGAAATGGGTCAAACCCCAGCTAAACCAACTAGACTTTATTCATCCAGGTTTTACATGTGGGTTTGTCTAGAAATAAGGTATCCCCAAATAACCCGGTCAAGCATCATCCCCATTAAATGGGTCATTGGGCCACTATAACCCCCAAAAATCTGACACGCATCTTATCTTTCCAAAGTTTCAGTGCTTAAATCCTTGGTGTTGACAGTTAAACCTCCATTTTTCATGGTCAAATCCCGATGTCTCATGGTTTCATCGTCCAGGGTTTTGGCCATCGTCCAAGGTTCACCCTAGATCCATCATGAGCCCAACACCAGCGGATTCCTTCGGCGTGATCAATCATCCAAGGATGATCTCACTACCCTCCATTCATAGGGAAGTGATCTCTTATGAAATATCAAAAATTATCATATCAATGATTAATTATAGATGTATATCATATGCTTAGTACCCTCCATGTCTATGAATATGATATAATAGTGATATTTCAGATGATATAACCAGCAAGATATAGGGATAATTATGGATCATTGGAAACGTAGCGAGCTGGAAAATCCATATGTTCCATTGTAACAGCATCGTTTAAGGTCTCCAAATGTATCCCTGGTTAGTGGTGCAATAACCATCTTGAAGATTAGTCAATGGAAAGGAAAGGATGACATCCCATATATTACAGTATGGAAAATAAAAAATGTTTGAAACCACCAACCAGATCCAATATCTTTGAGTCAGATAGAAATAGCATGAAATATATAGTCATGTCCATTGATAGGGATGGACTGTGAAAGGCCCGCTTGAAAGGCGGCATGGAGATTCACATCCCTGACTCCAAAAAAGGCTCCAAGACTATATCCAGGGTCAGCTAAAAAGAGATGGTTTAAGACTACAACTGCCCAAAATGGACAATTGTTGGTGATGTTGGTGCGTTTAGACTTTGTATTCTTGATGCTAAAATTCCAGAACCATAATTCGACCCAGGAGCAATTCACTGGGCAAGTTGGGTCTTGGGGCAACTGTCCCCTCAAGGCTACACGATGTTCGCACACCCATCCATGGCCCCTTTGCCACCATAGCAACCGTGGCGTTTCCACCAGGTTGGGAGTGTTTCGCCTGACAAGCCTCACCAGCGCCGCTCAGATGTCTCGGGGTTCCATGAAAGCACCGTAAAACCGTAAAGCCGGTTGGGGGCACTAAGGGGATCAACGGTCACTTGGATTCTCCGAGCTAGGAATAACACCACCAAGGTCAAGGGTAGTCTGCAAGATCATCTGAAGGTGCCAACCTCCAAAAAATCCTTGGGTTTCCAGCTCCAATTTCAAGTCAGCACCGGGTAATTTCAGCTGGCAATGTAAAATCCCCAGATCTCAGGTGGGAAAATATACATTATATGTTTTTTATATACAAATAAATTATACGAGTGATGGTAATAATAAAAATAATATCGTAGTAATAAAACTAATCACAAAAGTAGAAGTAGCAGTAGTAATGGCTATTAATAATGATAGCAACAGTAACAATAATAATATATAGTAAAAACCAATAACCACAAATAATATCTCATAAAAAATTGCCTAAAAAAACTGGTTTTCCCCTGAAACTTGCCTCCAGGTGCCGGTGCCCTGCTTGACCAGTCATCCCAGCGATTGCTTCGGAGCTCGAAGGGAATCCAGCCGCGGACCCCAAAGGCCCAGAGGCGACATGGCTCCGAATCCCACGACACCTGGCTGCTCAGGATTTTGGGAAGATTAAAAGTTGGGAAACAACCACCATTTTCATCCATTTTCATCCATTTTCATGTTTGAACCCAGACTTGGATTCTGATCCCATTTTTTTCGGAAGTGTTTCGATGTTTTTTGGGAGATCCAATTGTGGGGGTATTTTGGGGATGGATGAATGAAGGATCTGGATGGGGGATGATGGGGAAGGTTGAAAGTTTGGATGGAACGATTCAACTGCCAGTCCCGCCTTTGAAAAATACCATGCGAAAACATGCGCATGGCGGAACCATGTCTTCCGTTCCAACCCCTCGTATCCTCTGCCCCTAAATCTCCAAAGCAATCATAGATCCCAGTCAGAGTCACAACTCCACAAGCCCAATCAGCACCTAGTTGCCCTCAGCGATCGTTTTGTGCATCCCAAAAAATCACAAAACGAATCCATATTTCCTATTCAAATTCGAGTACTATAATATGTAATATTATATATATATGAATTATATATCCATACAATTCAGATACCTCTTCCATCTTTGGGTCCAACCCCCTAAAAATTGTGTTTTTCCCGCCCAAAACAACGCGCCTCCTCCGTCTGACTCTTGGCCGGTCGCAAGGTCCAGTGCAGCGCCGCCATGCCGACGGGGCAGCACTGAGCTTCTTCCAGGTCCCCGCAGCAGCTACACCTGGACGGCTCGGGGCGCCCTGTCGTGGCGATTTCTTTAAACCTTTGAGAACTGGAAAATGGATGGAAAATATATATAACCTATATAGGAAATATGGAAAATATATAGGAAACTTGTCCATTTCTCCATTTAACATGACCATTCTACCTACCCTTTGGTTTCTTGAACATAGCTAATTGTGGAAAATTGCCCGTTTATAGATGAACAAAAATGATGACTTACCTATTAAGTTGATGGTGATTTTCGGAGTACACACACCACACACAATTTATCAAGCATTTTGAACTTAGGCGTGTAGCCCTGTAATAAAGGCCTATTATTCAACAACCCAGCACAACATTGGATCATGTTCGCAACTGGTCACGTTTTCAGGGGTGTGTCCCACGTGATACATCGCCATCATTAGTATCCGCTAAATATCTATTTGTTTCATCATCCGAGTGTTGCAATTACTGCCAAATTTCAAACCCAACCTACTACAAACAACAACCAACTGAGGCACTAGAGTGAAAACTTGTGACTGTGCCATCACTACTCCACATCGTGCTACCCGTCAATTTTTTGGGTAATTATGTTCGAAAATACAGGAACAACAAACTGACAATGGTGGGGGCCCACCTGCTCTATTCCTGCTCTATATAATGTGTGTGAGGGATCAAATCTAATTTTTCACACCTGCATTGGAAGTTTGTGAAATCTCAAATGTCAGCATTAATTTGATTGTTGTAGCTGTTCGTTGTGTGTGTGTGTGTGGGGGTGAGGACCGTTTTCCATCGATCTTGTTTAAAAAAAACGCAAATGAATGAACACAAAAGAAATTCGTCATCCGATGTTTTTTTCATCAATGTAAAATGGCAAAAATTGAAGTGCAGTTTTAGTGCCAAAATCTCGCCAACACCGTGACGCATCCCTGACCCACCTGCCGGTTTGCTTCGATGTCTCGCTGCGAAATTTCTGGTCAGGGCCTTCTGGATCTGGCGGTAGGCTGCCGCGGCACGAAAGCAGCAGTGGCAAACCTGCGGGGCGAGGGGGATCAACAGCAATTGGTGTCAACCGATCCGAAAAATATGACAGTGCGATCCTCATCCCAGGCATCCCAGGATGGAAAACAAACAATAACACCCGCCACAGTGGTTGGTGCAGTCTCAGTTTGACCCGCCAAAATCTGAGACAACCATGGAAATATTCCCAGATTCTCTACTCAACTACCCCACGTTGACACCCCTCAACTTTGATTGTTAATCCCGATTTTTGTCGCTCGTACATGCTGCATTTTGGTTGGTTAAAGCTCCACTTTTGGTGGGTGACACGCAGTTTTCCTTGCTTGAGTTCCACATTTGAACAAATTTTTTTGATGACATTCTCATCTAGGACTTCACGTTTTAACCGATTTTCAACATTTCAGCCCCACCTACCTGGAAGCCGGGATGTCCAAGTTTGACAGACCTTCGTATCCAATGCCAGCGATTGGAGACGCAGCAAAGCAACCTGACGATCGGGTCTCAACCCATCAGGTAATTTTGGATGCACAACAAACATGTTGCTTCAACACCAACAAAGCCCGCAGGTTGAACCAACCATTTTCGAACCACAAACACGGGCCAACAAACTGCAAGAAATGCAAGTCGATACATCAAGATGAATCAGCAGAGTGCTTGACGCTGGTTCTCCTAAGCCAATTCCAAAATCAGTGGGCATGGAGACGCGGACTTTGACTCATATCAGAAAGGGTGCATCGTCGAGCAATGAACAAAACCCGAACCACTAGAGTGGAGCCTGGAATGTCTTTAATTTTGTCCAAAGTGAATGTGACCATGGGTTTCCTTGCGTGTCGTGTGCTTGGATGCCAGCAGAACAAGTCTGGTGTCATGGCACAATGGCTCGCTGCCGCCATACCTTTATTTCAACGTGAGTTTGAGTGCGAAGCCTTAGATCTGACACGCCTTGGGGGTTGCAATGGCTATACCGCCGCGCGGCCATCAATCGGCGCCGACTACATGTCCATCCAGCGTCGCGCAGGAAGGCCGGGCTATGGCATCACAGCGTCAAGGTGCGAACCTTGCAATCCCCTCCTCCTTTTTTTCATACAGATAGCCGGCAACATCAAGCAAAGTAAATGTGCGCCTGCCACGCAAAATGACGTTTCAGTGCACGAAGTGCCGCGCCTGCCACGCAGGGCGCGCCTTCACCTTCCAGTTGGCATACATCGCAGTGTTTCAAACTGGAACATCAAGCCATCCAACCCCACCAGAATACGTGTTTTGTATTGAAACCGAAAGGATTCTTGCCGCTTCAAGTGTCAAACTACAGTATGCCATAGCACACTCTCTTAAAAACAAGATCCCCAATCGGACTTGCTGGGACATGCAAAAATGTAATGGGAGAACCCAAGTCCCTGAAAGTATCAGGAGGATATACCATGATATACCAACCATAGATCCTCATGCGCCATACATCGCTGTATAAAACAAAATATGACGTGAATGGCCCATGGATTCTCCTGGAGAAGATTCTGACAATTTGACTGTTTAAATCAGACCTTTAGTAGCTTCCTCCAAAGCAGAATCGCAATCCCCCATCCCCATGATAATTCATAGGGTTCCAGGATGAGCTGCTGAAAGTTCAGTTGGAGCCTGGCCTGATCCCACCTTTGATGATTCTCATCGAAGGGTAAATGTTCGGGTCAGGGTAGTGAACCTTTGTCTTAGCATCATCTATTGGCATCCAAAGCGGATTCTTTGAACCAGCCTAGGTCCCCTCGGAATCTGATGGGCTATCTCCAAGATTTGAAGTTCGGCACACCCACAAGACCACATTGCTGGTCGGTTTTCAGGATCCAAGAAACCAATAACAGTTGCAGCCCTTGTTTCTGAACACACCAATCCTCTTCATACATAGCATATCGTAAACATGCACAATTGTTGTCAATGTCACCCATTCTTTTTGAGCATCTTAACTAACCCAGAAGTGTGGTCCTTGTGCGTCTCAAACCTTCCATTTCGTGTCCTCAAGTTGGAATTCAACCAAGAATTGCAGGACCAATCTGGGTGAACTCAAAATCATTGGTGAAATTCCCGGAAATGAGTGTTCTGGCTATGAAAAGATCTGTTTTTGTGCGTCAGCACATTCAATGACTATCCTCCATGTTTGGACAAAGCCATGTATGGTTGAAAATCAACCATGTCCCCGTTGATCATTGAGATGTTCCCACATATGCGGGGGTTTCCTAATGTAGGGGTATCCCAAATCATCCAAGTCACTAGACCATTTTAGAATTGAAACAACCATGGTGACTTGGGGTCCCACCAGGTCGTGATGCAATTCCAAACCACCAGGCCCGCCAGGCGCACCGGGGAATCATTGAGCATGGCCAGCATGGCTATCTCTCAATGTTCAGAGCAAAAGATGCAACAGAAAAAAAGTGAAAAACAGACTTTAAAAAAACAAGAAATTGCCTCAAGTACCATGCATGGTTCATCCCTTAGTGCGATACTAAAAACCAATGATCGTGGGAAACCCAGTCCAATAAACCATCCCCAATGGAGGTCTATGACATTGGGTTTTTGCCCTACGGAAAAAACACCTAGAAATGGGATGATTCCCCATATAAAAAAGGCAGTCCGACGCGGTGAGGTCATAATGATTCCTTCAGAATAGTCTTTTTAAGGATAATCATCTATTAGCAACCATATTGACCGTATTATATAATACATGCAATGTATATATATATATATGTACGTATATATATATATATATATACATATCATTATATAATCAACATATTGATATTAATTAACACATCTTCATATTATATATATATATATTATCAATAATAAATAGTTACATAGTGTTACATATAGTTACTAGTAACCAATGCATAGCCATAGCATCAAGAGAAAGGTCCACGCGCCTCACCCGGCCTGCAGGTCAGGAGCTAAATCGCAGCTACAGCTGAACGAAGGCAACTCGACTCGCAAGACGTGGAGGAAGGTCCGGGGCAGCAGGGCACTATCGTCCTGTGGGTTCTCCATGGGGGATACCCCAATGGATGGTTTATTCATGGTTTATTTCATGGCAAAACCAACTATAAATGGATGATTTGGTTTATTGATGTTTATTTCATGAAAAATGCATGGATGATTTGAAAGTAGCCCCATTTTAGGAACGCTCCATATTCCAAAGTTGACTTTAAAGAGTTCTTAGACGCCATGGATGCAACATCTGAGCTGCGGATTGAATCAGAAGTGACCGCTGCCCAGCCAACAGAATCCAGCTGTCTATTTGGTGGTCACCCCTGAGTACGAACCTCTTGGAGTTGTTTCATTTTTTTTCGATCATTCTGACATATTCTGAAATCCCAAAATGAACAAACTGCAGGCCCTGCAGTCGATCGCAGTTCCTCAAAATTCATGGCGTTGTACTTCGGCTCACAGACCACAGGATGACCTAGGGAGTCAGGTTGTCATCTGGGCCAAGATATGCCAAGATAACAGAAGATGACCATGATCAAATGATCAAGACCTAATGAAAGAGATGTAATGTTCTGAGGCCTTTTAGAAACCGCGCTCCTGTCCTCACTGGAAGAAAGGACCAAGTACGACAAAAGTTGCCTGATAAAGAAGATCCTGAAAGTCACATGCGGAAGTAAAGGGGTTGCTGCGATGAAACTTCCGCAAGTTTTCTTCTCTGCGTGACACAGTATGTGCATGTAGTATGCACACCTAGTCCTTACATGTCCTATGTGCATCGAAAAACATACACTTAGTGACAAGAGCTCTCTATCCAAGAACAACTCACCGCGACATACCATGCTTTTGCATCCTTCAGTGTCACCAACTTGTCAACGTTCATGAACTTGCTCAATGCACCACTAGTGAGCATCAGTCATCTGAATCTTGTGAAGTGCAGAAAGATGTGTCCAAAACATTCCAAAACCCTCCAACACCACCTTCTACTGGTCGCTTGAGAGGGCTTCCCAAATTGAATAGTACAGGCCAAGAACATCCAAGAACCATATCGTCCCAACACCAGGGATCTGCCGATATCTGCCGGGCCACCGATGAAGGCCATATGCGCATAGACTTGGCAAATCCGATCGCTGTGGCAGGCAATCTGCACTAAGGAGAACCTCAGAGGTTCAGTCAGTCAGACCCAGGGCCATTTTTAGAGGGAAAAGATGGGAAACTCATGATAAACCATGGGATTATTGGGGTGTTCCCCTAAATTTTCACAAAAAAATCAACCTGAAGGCTGGAGATGTTTGGCTGAAACGATGGGACTGCCCTTCCCCCCCCAAAATCAAGGGGACCATCCCAAAGAGTTGCTCCCGCAGAGGAGCCATCTTGATCGTGGCCAGAAGCTCACAGGCCCAGCGTTGGGCACGTGAAAGCGCTTGAGAACCTGTCGAAGAGGGCACCTCTGGTGGGTTTCGTGCCGAAACGTGCTGGAAAAAGAGGATCTTCGGCCAGGTTTTCACTCCAACAAAAATATGACATGAACTTGCAAAAATTTGCTGTTGATAGACCAAAATGTCGATTGCATCAAGAAAGCGTCAACTGACAAAGGACTTTAATCCATTTAATCCGCAAAAACCGGGTTTGAAACACAGACTGGCTCGTTCGTAGGGACGTACCCCCACTTGCAATTCGAAATCCATGATTTTTCTTGACAACCTGGATGTTCCATGCCTTTTCCCCACATTTTCAGGTACCAAATGGTACCAAACCCTTCTCGGGCTTCCCTTACACTCTGGTAATTCAACATAACTATGTTGAAGATCTAAATCATCGAAGTATATCAATGAGGAATGTTCATGAATCTTCCATGGCAAAGTGCGACTTAAATTACCAAAGGCTAGATTCCCATCAAGCTCCCTTTAAAATCCATGAAATAGTTTTAAATCCCCAATTTTCAATGGTGAGTTAACTATGGCCATCTATGGCCCCATCGCGGTCGGCCGGCCTTGTAGGAAGTGCACGCGGCCAGGCCATCTTTGGCGCAGGCAACGGATCCCAGGTCGCGGCCCTGGGCGTCTTGCCATGGCAGCAAGGGCACCTCCACGGCACCTCAGGGATCCCGGATCCGGATCCACTGGGTGAAGGGCAAGGGCCCTATGACTTCGGAAAGCTCCATATGCTTGGGAAGATCCATTTTTTGTAAGTCACTTGGAGTTCATTGAAACCTTTCAAAGAGTGAAATGAGTAGAAAACATGATAGAAAATTATTGGAATTCGCCAAATGCGCCATCCAAACATCTCCAAATCATCCCAAGAGAATGTTGGAGCAGAAACATCCCATGACCCCCGCCTTCACTGGGCTCATCGACTCCCACACAGCCCTCCACAAGTGCAATCGCTTCCTTACATCGCTCATCGACTCTGTGGTAATGAAACATGGCAGTCATGGCAGCATGGCATTAGAAAATGTTTCGTTTACGGATGGCTTTCCCATAGCGAGGGGATTTCATAGCTAGATATAGCTAGCCATGTTTCATTATGTTTCATTCCCGGCAAAAAAACATTGGAGGTCAATCAGCCAGGGGCCGCCATACCCAAGCCTTGGACCCAGACATCTGATGTCGCCGAACTGAGGTGTCCAAGAGATGGTGGATTGTTGGTTTTGAACAGTCCTGTTATGTCTAAATTACTGTGGATGCAAGAAATCCTGCACCAGTTGATAGGTAGTTTATCCCACAATTCATACGGTTTCAACCATCCAAGGTCAGGATTTCGCAACCATCTGTATATCTAAATGGCCACCAGAAACTCCAAAAATCACCACCAAGGCGCCATGAGTACTTGACCTTGCCGTCGGTGTTGCAGGAACTTCTCCAGGGCATCACTGGTTTGGGCATAGATCTGCACCCCACTGCACTGTGTCTCCTGGCGTCACTGGACTCTGTCTTCGCGGGAAGCGCGTTCGGACTGTTGGGGAAACAAGAAGATCCAGGGAGATAGAAAGGGCCAGGCGGCGCTGTAGAAAAACGAAACCAAAAACTCGACTAGATGAGGTAAGACGACTTTGGAGACATCCCATAGATGGTTGTTGTTCCAAATGGGAGGACTATCAGCAAACTCAGTCGGCAACGAAGGCACATTTATCAGTGCAGACCAAACGTCCAAGCGATGGCAGAGCCGGCCCTGCTGGCTGTCAGCACCCACGGCCACCAGTTTTTGCTGGAGAAGTTTGCCAAAGTTGGCGATCTCCTGATGGCGACAAGCGAAACATGCAGCAGGTCTACCAGTTCTCACGGCCATCAAGCTACCAGCAATCGGCCATTGAAAAGCCCATCTTACAGGAAAGGTCAAATGCAAAGTGCAACTCGGCGCCCCACCCTATGTTTTTGGATGTTGGCCAGAGAAGTTTCACTTCGCCTCTACATCTTCATGCATACGCACAAAATATCACCGTGGAGGTTCTTTGGGTGTCCCCCAACAGGACGCAGGGCCCAAATCCCGTTCCGTTCTCAGCCCAAGGTCCCCCTGGTAGGACAGACCAGGCGGCTTCTTCCTGGGAGCAGAGAGCACACCGGGAACCAGTTGAAGCATTGTCTTTGGTATATGGTGAACATGTAATGGCACAAGATCAAAAGAAAGTGGATGATCAGTCTTACCATTTGCCCGTTTGTTGTGTTCATGCGTAGTCTTCAACGGTCATCCACGTCCGTGTAGAGTGTATATTGATAATCAGGGTACCCAAGTAACCACACAAAACAAATCCTTTTGTTGGTGACTGCAATCAGCCGAAGGAACCACAAAAGTGGTGGTTCTTTGCACTGAAAAATGCCGTTGAGGATAAAATACATCGCAGTGAATCACAGTTCGTGACCCCTCAACCGTCAACCCACAACATTACAACATGCCCACTCCTAACAAAGACTTTGCTATGCCGCCACCAGTTGATAGGATCATTCCCAATTGTTGGACAAATCATGATTGTTTGCTCACCCAATTTTGGGAATGATCCTATCAACTGGTGGCTCACCATATTGTTTGTTGCCTAATGAATATCATAATTGTTTGATATTCTGTGTCCAGCCATATTTTGTTGGCTCACCCAATTTGCAGCCATAGGGACAGGCCGATGAAATCATCGGCGACCTGCAAGATTTCCAAATCCCAATACCTGAGGAAAAAAACCGGGCCCTTGAAGCGCCAAAGCGGGTGGGCAGTGGGCAACGTTGGGTATGAGTTCCATGGTGCACGTCAAAATGTCAAAATGGTATCTAAACATATGGGTGTGTCTGAAAATGTTGTGTACCCCTTTTTACCCAATGGTTTTGCTGATCATTATCCCTATTAAATGGCCATAATTGGGAATATACCCTATTTTCAGACAAACCCATATCTAAACTACCTATGGTGTTGAAAAAATACGGTATACTGAGTATACGAATACTCACAGTTGCAAGTATTACAGGGAAGCAAATAGTGCAGGATATCAATATGTGGAGAAATATCCATCTCGGGATCAACCCCACCACAAGCATCCATCTATCAGCGTTAACACACATCTGGTAAACCATCACCATATTCTCCAAACAAAAACACATCTGTTGTCCAACATGTTTATGATCTATGGGTTTATGGCTTCAAAATCTCCTGGGTAATGGGTCAATTAAATAGTAATTATCAATAATTTACATTTAAAAAAATTACTCACCTGAATACTTCGGCTGGGAGAATTCTCGAAAAATCCATTCCCCATTCTGAACCAGGTGACTGAAAGGTGGTGCTTTCCGCCACTGTGAGCGGTCGCCAAGCATGGAGGGCCACGCTCTCGCTGCTCCAAGGGCTGAAGCCGTCAGCCAGGACGGGATCCTCCAGATCGCGAGGGGGTCCTGGCGCTGGGGCCCCAAGATGGGAGGTCTAGGAGTTAGATGAAAATCTGAAGGTAAGTTCTAGTGGGAACTAGTGGGAACTTGAACCTGTTCTGGGATTTTGAATGATTCTAATTATGATGTTATTATGTTCTATTGATTGTTGCTAGGTGTGGAACTTTGATGTTCGGGATATAGTCACGAAAGATTTGGAGATGGATACCGTTGGGATGTCTTGAACCTTGGGGTTTGGATCGCTTCCCAGTCACCATCATTTGTGGTGAGATTCTTGAAGGCCGCAAAAAAGTCTAGAAAAAATGACACCAAAAAAAGATCGAAACGTTGGAACACCAAAATAACATATGCAGAAAACATCATAACCTATATCCTGGAAACTCCGTTCTATGCTGGAAAATTCTGGGTCAAATGGTGGCTTGGCCTGGCCGCCCGTATTTTCATGGGCGCTCATCCGCAAGTCCCATCGTTGATGTGAAAGCCAGGGGACCCTTGGATGTTGACATACCCATATAGGCTGTTTCTTCACAATCCCATCATGATCCCCACAAAAGAATTACACCCTCATCTTTTGGTGGTCATATGAGTCATATCCCGATTAATTTCCACGGGCGTTGCAACCCTCCCTTGCTGCTCTTTCAAGACTTGGAACCCCGTTCCATCACATTAACCAAGAAAATCCCCATTGAAAGGGCCATCATTTTAGGACAAAAGGCAGTATTGTTGTCGCTTGAAACCCCATTTAGCTACTCAAATCCCCATATTCAATGGTGGTTAAGCCATGTTAAACCTCCATTTCAGGTGGTAGAAAACCTGTCCCTGAGTCTCAAAAGTCACAAGTTCTGTGTCCCCACCTGCGTAGACGGAACGCCAGGTTCTACGCTTCCACCGCTGCTCGGCCACAAAGACGAGGCCATATTCTGCACCAGCGAAGGATAAAGAGGCCTCCCCCGGGACGGCTACCCCCGTGATGGCTGTGGTTGTGGGATGTTGTGGGGCATTTCAGCCTGGTAGTGACTGGTAGTGGTTCACATCCAGAATCCCAAAGATCCAGTTCGACGAGTTCATGTTGGGATGCGAAACAAAAATCGGATCCCCGAGAGGTCAACCGACTGCGGTTCCGGAAATGGGCCCTAGCCACAAACAATTGGAGTTTGCTCATAGAATTTAGAACCCAACAGATTTCCAAACATCGCCTTATTTTGAGGTTTGAGGTGCTCAGCAAGGTCCCCAATTTTTCGATTCACGGCCCCAAACTCTAACATGGAACCCAACTCATATCCAGGGGTCTTAAATATTCTTAAATCATTTCAAAAAGGCCCCATTTTTTGTACAGTTCCCATGGTTGGTGTGTTTTTGGTCCCCATTTCTGCTAGTGAATCGACCTTCCGGTGGCTCCACCTGCCCGAGCTTCTGGAGAAATGTGCCCCAGCCAGGGATTTGATCGTACCTGGTGAATCCATCTGGGGATCAACACAGTGGCTCCGTTGTTCGCATCACTGATCTGGCACTTATCATCTGGCTACAAATCAACATATGCCAGTAATTCCAAAGATGGCGAAATCATGAACCACTAAAATATTGCAATATTTAGTTGGTGAAATCCATTGAAATCCCCAAGTCTGGTTGGTCCTACATGTCCTACCTTTTGTTTTTCCACCATTTTTTGAATGATTTTCCTTCCCCAACACTTATGCCCCGCTATGCCCTATGCCATGGCGCCAGCTGCACCGCGGCGCAGCTTTCTGCGGCGGAGCTTTCTGCCGCGGCGAGGGCGGCAACGGCGCGGGCTGCGAGGGAGGCAGCGGGGCGGAGGGAGGGGGCCTCGGCGATCAGGGGAGTTGATCCAGTTGAAGCACTAAAATGTGGATACTTAGTGTGGTATCTCTATAACCATAAAAAATGGGGCTCGGATAGATAGTTCTGGCTCCATAAGACTTCCCGATTTTGGGTTAACCAGTCATTATCTATTGGATTGCTATACCTATTTAAATGTGGTAATAATGACTCACTGGTGCTAAAAGTAGGGAATGGGGGAATGATCCAATCCATAACTATTTTCGCAATCATCCCATTCCCCCATTCCCCCATTCCCCCATTCCCCCATTCCCTACGTTTAGCACCAGAAAATGGGGATACTCTAAGTGGGTTATCCCTACAATGTGGTAATAAATTGGGTTTAACCAGTTATTATAATTGTGTGTTTAATGATTAATCTAATTTTAACCATTCCCAAAATACCCCAATTATTGTGTGATAAACCCAATGCCATAAACCATCCCCAATACATGTTTATGAAATTGTGTGCCCCTACATCTTTACTTGGGTTTAACCCGCAAAAAAGTTGAGATTTGGTGGGGACACTTGTAAAGCCCAGTAAAAATCGGGGCATTGAGCTATCAAAATTTAGGGATTCGCTGGTTTATACAAATATATACAAATAGAACTATAAGCATAAAGAATCATAAAGATATGTTTGAAGGTTGTGTACAAGAATTGGAAGCAACATAGGGATATCAGTCGGCCAAGTTGCGGAGGTGCTTCAATCAGCTCTTTTTCTTCATCGTAGATGCCTGCAGTCGTGCCATCACGAATTTAAAAAAAACATGTTGATGAAACCTGATGGAAAACCAACATCATTACACCGGCAAGAGATCCCAAACAGTGTGGGGGGTAGAAAGTCAATGTACCAAATACAAGCAACAGTAGCTATGGAACAGTAGCAGATGAGGTTAGATATGATCGCAAGGACCTGCTATATGGATCTATATAGAGGACTACGGAGCTCACAAGATCTTCATACAAGAACTTCCTATGAACATCCCAGAAGAACTTTCAGACAAGGACCAATGCAGAGGATCTTCAAGATCTTAATGCAAGGACCTCTTGAGGAGGATTTCAACAGATCTCCACAAGATCTTCTCACAAGGACCTGTACAAGCTTCAAGAGCTTCTCACAAGGGCCTGTACAAGATCATGCAAAGGCCCCTGACAGCATTTCACTAGGATCTCCACAAGAGCTTCTTACAAGGACTTGTAAAAGACATTTACCAAAATCTTCATGCCAGGACCCCTAAGAGAAGCTGACAAGATCGCAATAAAATGGACACTGTTTGGAGATATGTAAATCTTGAAATTCCAATTTTCCATCGTATTTCTTCATCAAAATCCCAACAAATGTTACGGAGATAGCAATGAGATTTTGGGGTTCAAATGTTTAAGCCCCACATCAGCCTGCCCACCCTGCCTCTGGGTAAACGTGGCTTCCTACACGGCAGGTGACATATCACTTGAGATCTGCGATGATCTTCAAGAATCTGCCGTGTCAGTGCTAGATCTTCAACCGGTAACCGGCATATCTGTTGTTTGCTTGCATCCAAAAGTACGGACCCGGAGAAGTTCCAATGGGCACACAGCAAGACCATGCCATGTTACCTTCGGGGAGAAGGAATTAGTATGCTTTGGGACTTGGTAATTATATCGAAAGTGACGTCCCCATATTTCACGGTGGTTAAGCCGGTTAAGCCCCTATTCAGGGTTTGTTGAATTTTGGAACAAAATCCCATGGTTTAGCATCATTTCACCAGATTGACATTGCAATACCCAATTCTTGCTGGGGCACGCGTCAGACCATAGATTTCATAAAATTTGCTACCATAGATTCACCTCATATCACCTCATACTATATATATTATGTTCTTTGAATTCATGTTGCTGCGGTGCATGACACATGTCAACATGTCCCAGTATGCATGACGCAGCAGCATACTTTTTGCCATTGGGGGTCGAATCGCTCTGCCACTTCGGCGCGCTCTGGCTTTGGGTAGGCCAGAGCGAAGACAAAAATATATCACATCCAAGTTTGAATGTCACCGCCCAGCAAAGTCACATGTCCAAGTGTGGCAGCCGTCCATACCGATGAAGGTATTGTTGTAGTGAACGGCAAGCTTGGAGTAATTTGATAGATGACAAGAACTCTAAATGGGCCTTCAACTGCCGTACTTCATTGCGCATGTGGTTGATCAAAGGCGTGGCTTGGTGAAGGCCTTGATCCTCAAAGTAATCGGACAGGTCTATCAAATGCTCTTCGATGAGGTTCAGTTGCTGGGCATAGTATTGCACGATGACAAATTGAACGAAAAACGCTTGGAGTGATTGATGTACTGGCTCTTCCATGGGAGGGAGAGGTTCGGGACGAAAAATTTCGATATGAAAATGAAATTCAATTTTAAGTTGAAGGTGAACTTCCAAACTTACTTTGAGTTGATGATGTTGACATCATGTATTTGTGACAAATGGATTGTCTTACAAACTGACATGTCAACTCATGAAGTTCACGTGACGGCACTTGCCGGTGGTTGTCACACTTGTGACTTGGAACCAAAATGCGACAATGCAATGCCGTAATGACATGTTTTCATGCGCAACTGGGAAAAACCACCGCAGCACTCACTGAATGTTCGTGTGGACATGAATTCCTCACATAAAAATCTATCATGACTTCATCATGAGAGTATTCTTATGTTCTTTGAATTCATGTTGCTGCGGTGCATGACACATGTCAACATGTCCCAGTATGCATGACGCAGCAGCATACTTTTTGCCATTGGGGGTCGAATCGCTCTGCCACTTCGGCGCGCTCTCACCCCATGCTGGTGGCCGTGTGGTTCCACAACTTACCAACATCGACCCTAACCCTTTCATGTCCAGCCCATCGAGCCACTTGGCTTCGAGATAACTCATCAGCTGGATTAGACTGGCTCGGAACACGTTCTAGCCAAATGTGACATGAATGGGTCTCCTCGAGAAGAATTTTTTTTCTAAGAACTTTGCTGCTAGGATCATTTCCTGACCAGGTTTTAAGAAAACTGCCTCTGACAGCTTCACTGTCGGTGAAGGCTACTATGCGACGCCCTTCGTGGCATGGGCACCACATAGAGGCCGCTATCAACAAAGCCAACATCTCCAACTCCTGGATCATGGTCTGTTGATCCGTGCTCATGGCAGCAAGGATGAAAGATTTACTTATTTCTTCACTAAAGAAACCCAAAACCGTCCCATCACTAGCATAGGCTGTGCCCCCTACTCCAGAGTAATTATCAGGGTCGAACGACGCATCAACATAGATGTGTATGTGATCGGACATGGGTCCCCTGATGGTGCGCGGCAGATTTGCCATCAACTGGCATTTGAAGCTGCTCAAGGCCGCAACAGTGTCGTTGCACAGCTGGAGGCGATTGCTGGCTATATGCTTGGACAAAACCCTGAGGCTGTTTCGGGCACTTCTTCCGAAGAGTTGGCCGCTGGCAAATTGCAATCGACCTCTCAGCCTTTCACCGTCACACTTCTTCAGCTTGCCTGCGTCCAGGATGGAGTCAAGTTGATCGCACAGTTCTTGAACCCTCTCGGAAGTGTTGTTCACGGTTGCCAAACCTTCCCCGGACATCTTGAAATCGAATTCCACCCCAAGCACTTTACAAGCAGTGTGGTAATCAATCAATTTGTCCGCAGATAATTTCCACCCCAAAAGGTTAAACATCGTAAGGGCTACTAAGTCTGTATGTCTGGCACTGGCTGCGTCAGTTACAGAAAAGAAGTCGTCGAATAAATAAGATGTCCACATCAATTTGAGGAGTTGGTGTCCCAGCCTCCATGTGCCGTGAGCCACACGGAGGAATGCCGTAACGGACGCCACAGATCCAAAGGGAAGCACCTTCTGTTGAAACACCTCGGCCTTACTGGTGTCAGGGCAAAACACCACAAGGTAGGCATCCTGAGAAAAAGCCCGATCACTAAGGGGTATTTGTTTGTAAGCCTCAGCCAAATCCCAAGTTTTTGCAACCAAATTAGGACGCTGCGACCTGACTTCAGCGTGCCTCAAAACACAAGCTATCATGGAGGCGACATGATCTACGGTATGCACCGTTGCTGTTTCGGTCTGCGACACACTGGAGTTCACGAAGGAGGCTTTGTAATCATCTATGGGTCTTGTCTTGTTCTTTTGAAACACCCCAAACCTGCGGGTGAGGGTTGATCCCGCGGGCAACGCTGTAGGATCGATAGGACCCTCAAGAAAGCCCTTTGACACTTCCTTCATGGTTGCTGCGTAAAGTTGTGAGTCAATTTCAGCATCACCTGAAGACTTAACCATTTGCAGCATGCCTTCACGGCTCAGGTCTGCTATCCTTCTAAGGTCTCCACAAGACATCGTCGCCGGGCGGACTTTCCTTGAGAATACATTGGATTCTGGAAGACTGCCTGTGAAATCGAACCCCTCAGCGAGCTGTTCCACTAGATCAACATCTCCGTGCCCGGCGTCATTCAGGAGATGCTTGAACAGAGCAAGGTTTTTGCTTCCCAGGATGTCTTTTCTTCTATCCGACATTTTCTCCTTGATCAAGGACTCCTCCGGGCTCAGCGATTTCTTCAATTGGATCCACCGTTTGATTTCTTCGGTGCGATCTTGCAACAGGCTGGCTGAATTCCTGTCCAGGCAGTGCTTTACAACTGTCTCCATTTCGTCCGGGAAGAAAGAGTGCAGCCGTGTTGGATGGCCTACTTCCAAAGCTTTTTGAACAAATTCTTCAGGGGCAAAATGTATTCCTATGGTTACTTGATCACCCGATTTATCCTTGGTGTTGCTAATACTCGCGCCTAAACCCCCGTGATGAGAGGAGAGTTTTCTGGCGTAAGGTGGCAATTTTTGGGCAGACGGATGGGACTGAACTTCCTTGAATTCCGGTACCATTGGTGGGAGGCCACGTCGAGGCTGCAAATCTGTGGAGGCTCTCATAGTCTGCAACGATGCTTCCTGCAAAGCGAAAACTGGGGGAGATCCCGTCAGTCTGCAACTGCAAGGCTAATTTGGCGGCTATCGCTTTGCAAAGCTCCCACGGGTACGTGGTTTCTTCTGCAGTTCGCCAGTGACCTGAAGGGTCTTGACCCCAAGGTTCATGCTGATGTTGATTGTCGCACATCAACTCTAGTTGTTGAAAAGTTGGGATGTTATGAAGGAGTTTGGTTAACTTCCTTCTGGAGCTCCCATACCGGCAGTGGTGAAAAAGCACCTCATGGAGGGAAAACCTATTGATTAATCTTACAAAAGGCCTAGTGAGCCACATGAATGATCTACCGGGATTTTCCACTGAAAAGTACTTTTTGTGTAGCAGGCAAAATTCAACAAGATCGCATGTAACTTGATATAGGTCATTTGCCGCCTGGACGCGGGTTTGCAGAATACCAGTGAGGCCAGGAAGGCCATCTGGATATTGGTCGGTGCGCACTATTGGTGGATTCCATCGGCCCCTTCTTTGGATGAGGCGTGCGCGTGAGCTGGTGCCACATGGTGGTGCAAAATGCACGTAAATGCAAAAGGGTGAAGCGATGAGATCCTGTACAAGCTTCACATGGTCGTGCTTCAGCAGATCATATCGAATTATCGGGCTTCTAAGATGATCAGGCAATTTTAAATCGACACGAAAACTGTCTCGAAGGCCTAAAGATCTTAAAGCTGCGGTGAGTTTACCAGAGCCAGCGAAAATTTCGATGCAGAAAAACTGGTCTAGTGAACGGCCCTGATGGGACGGAGCTGCATTGCTTCGAATGTCATGCGAGTCCTGGTGCAAAACTGGCCCGTTCACTTGAGTTTGTCACTGATGGTTCTGGAGACTGTGCGGTTGCTCACAATTTGGTTCTGCACATAGATGGCTTTGCATCTTGGCACCCCTGAGGAAGATTAAAGGCCCAGCATAGGCGCTCATTGGCTTTGGTGTGCAAACACTTTCCTATGAGTCCGCGTGGAATGTTCGGGCCACGTCCCCTTTTTGATTTGCCACCCTTCCCTTTTCCTTTTCCTTTGGCAGGTGGTGATGTATTACCCTTCGGAGGGGTGCGAGATCTATTGCGCTTCGGCGTGGCTGCTGCTTTCGGCTGGGCTGGTTTGTCAGTGGCGGCCCTCAGAGGCAATGGCAGGAGATGGAACGTCACAGAAGGGTGAGCCAAGACTTTTGCGATCTCAGTCTCTAAGGGCAAGTTGCCTTGTTGATCACGTTTCAAGGTGCTCAGCTTCTCTGCCATATGCAGCCATGCTGCTCGGTCTGCACGGAGGATTTGAGTCAAAGTGACTGCCGAGTATCCAGGTGGTGGAACCATGTGCAAATGATCGAAAAGCTCTGCATGAAAGGCATTCATAACATGATAGTTGCATGCCTGGACTAAATCAAAGGCAAGGGCACGTCGCCTCATAGCATTCGTTGTCTCCAGTTCTGTTGCTGTCGAACAGGTGATGTCTTGGGCCTTGTCGCGCACAACCAGCGCACTTTGATCTATCGATATCTCCTTGGTGGCTTTCTTGAGGGCCAACTCGCTCCTTCGTGTGGCAAACTTCTCTGGAGATAGATACACAAGAGAGTCCTTTTCTAGCATTCCAAGGACCAGGTCATAATTTTGAAAGGCACACTCTTCTTCTCCTTTGAGCCGGAGGCCTTCGAGTCTGGTTCTTTGCTCCTTGACTCGATTCTCTCGTTCTGCAGGTGCCAATTTTGTTTTTGTTTGATCCTCTGTCTTGTGAACCTTGTTCTGAAGTTCCGCTGAAAGAAGCGTCTGAGCCTCAAATATGAGCCTTTTCATTGATGCATACGTACCTGGGTTCAGGGTGACAAGTCCATTGAATAGTCCATCGATCTGTTCATTGGTTGGAGCTTCCCCCGGAGGGCATGCTGCGAAGGCCAGACGAGCCAATGAATCTACTCTATTTGTGATGAGGGCTTCAATCTCATCTGATGTAAGGCTAACTTCGAGGCCCCGAGATCTCAGAGCCTCTTTCGACTCTAACAAGGTGCTCATGTCAGCGAGGAGGAGGTGCGGTGTTGCAAACTAACTCCTGAAAGAAAATGTTGACTGCAAACGTGGACTGAGTTCAACCTTACTGAAATTTTCTGTGTCAACAACTATCTTCGTGCTGATCAAGTGTTGTCCTGTTTTCATCCTTGTCACCTGACAAAAGGATTTTTTCTGAGCCACGCACATGCATGGTGATTGACTTCCACTCAGCACTTGCGAGTTAAATGACTTCATTCTTTAACAAAACATGGCACTTGCCATGCAGATGTTTGACACGTGCAAGTATTCACTGGTCACGTGAAAACAACTCAAACTTGTTCAAAAAGGGGCGCTTGCCCATTCACTGCATCACATGACAACAATGTGAAACCAACCCTTCTACATCCAGCGCTCACTTTTTCATCACCGTTTCGAAGCTCCCAAGGCCGCGGCCAGGTATCCTACCGTGTTGATAGGCTTCTTTGCTGCGCATCTCTTGCACTTTCGGATGTCCAGGAAAGGGGACTCAGCCACTTGCTCAAAATCCTGAGTGATCTTAACTCCACAAAGGAGCGAATCCACGCATCCACCTGCAACCACATGAACAACTTGAGTTCGGAGATTCCTGTACATGACAACGTCTGAGTCCCACGCTTTGGGTGCTATCACAGGGTCTTGCTGAGAATCAGCGGCCAGTTCATGGTCGGTGCCGTCGGATGCTTCGGAATCAGAGGACGTTTCACTGGACCGGGATTCCTCATCTGCTTCTTCGGATGCTTTTGGATTGGGTGCAAAGTCAACTTGGAAAAAGGATTTCGGATCGGGGACGATTGCTGAACTCAACATTCCGGAGCGTGTCGCGTCCGGGGAAAAGGCTTTTGTCCTGATCTGCTGGAGCACCAGCTCAAAATCCCTAAGTGGTTTGGCTAAGCTGTCCCTGGCACAACACTCTGCAGAAGTCTTCCCGGTGGAGTGATGTCCTATAGGATGGCCCGGACGTCTGGATCCAGACCCTACTTGGCACTCCAGGAGAGAGGCGTGGCCTTGAGGGTGTGAATTGTGGTAAAAGCAGAGCCTCCTTCGAGCTTCTTCAGCAAGTTCCTAATCCACTTACCTGCCTCCTTGGTCGTGACCGCTCGTGCGGACCACCCTCCTGTCAAGTTGGGGGCTGCAAGCAAAGGTTCATGATCTAAATTTTCCAGTTGCCTGTTAGCCAACTGGGCAACTTTCAAAAACGTCAATCCCCACGGTGGCGACGTGACTCCCCAAACAGGGGCTACTAATGGCATTGCAAGGCCACCTTTGGCCACCAGTCTAGATGTCTTGTGCGACCTGGTCTTGCATTCAAGGTATCCAGATATCTTGCCTTCCTTTTCATCTATATCGGCGTAAAAACTATAGATTTTCCGGATGTCGGACCATCTGCTTCTGCTGTAAAGGCAAAACAGCATGCATCCACTGGCAAAGCGATCAGTGAGGTCAAGCCTCTCATCCGCAAGGTAAAGTTCCAAGTGTTCAACCTCTTTGACGGTCAGAACCCTGGCCTGGTTCTTCTCCTTGCGCATGGCGTCACTGGCTCCGATCATTCGGTGGATCTTGGCTGAAATGAGGTCCTCTGTCTCGCAGCTCACATTGATGCCGACTACATGCTTGCAGAAATTCAATGCTTCCACAAACCCCCTGATGAAAGAGGCTGGTTTGCCCTTTCCTCGCATATCTTGCAGATATTCTTCAACAAGTTCTCTGGATACTGGAAAGGGACACAGTGCAAAATAACGTGATTTGTACCACCTAGTGAATTGCAAGATGCTTGACCCTCGTCTCAGAATGGTCCCATGACTTCTATTCCCAAAAACGAGTTGCATATCTTCCGATCGGTGGTCACGCACAGCAGCACGAAGATCAAAACCTTGGGGCCAAGGGCCAAGATTCTGGACCCGTTGAGAAAATCATGTACCACTTTTCCAGTGCCTTTGTCATGGCCGTCTCCTCCAGATCCCTTTCGGACAAATCTATGTTTCCGAAGTTAATGACATCACTAAAAGCCCCTCTCACGGTCTTGCCCTGTGCAGGATGGACGGACGAAGATGTCTGGTTGCCCAAGGCATCAAAGTCGATAGGTCCCATCACAGGGTTTGGGATCAGCTTCGCAGGATCTTTGTTGAAGATGCGTGCCAACCCTTTACGTTCCCAGGGCATTTTGAACTTGAAAGTGGGCTGGGTCCTAAGACATGCATCTGTTACCATTGATCTCAAATTCTTAACGCTAGCATCGTCAAGGAAAGATGTTTTCTGATTGGATGGCATCGATGATTGCGGGGAAAACTCTTGATAACCGTCCCATTGTGGGCTATCCCCCTCACGTCCAAAAAGATCTCCTACATCTGACTCTGCTATGTCAACTAATTCGGATGCGTCGAGATCCTCAGGCAACGGCAACTGTACAGTTCGGGAATTGACGGATGCCGATTCGGATCGGTCGTCCGATTCATTGGGACGTTTCAACCCTCTTTGCATTCTCCCTACAGGCCGGATGCTCGGATGCTCATGAGGGCCTGTGCATGCAGGTTCGCACAGCCCACCGTCAAGTCACACCTGAAAGGGCAATCAACAGGGCTGAAAATCTTAACACTAGCTGATGTACGACAGTTCACATTAACACCCGTACTACATGCCCCTAACATTATCTGACAAATCTTGCACATAAAGTGTCTCTGAAATGCTGAAGTGAATCTGAGTAGTGAACTGTCGGTCAAAGGTCTGTCACGCCTCGTGCCACTCGGCCGAAGGACAATAAAATAACTCACTTGAGTCTGAAATAAAGGTTGCACTTGCAGACCTCTCATCATCAAGATGAATACCAAAAGTTTCAATTAAGGTTGCACTTGCAACTCATGACCCCGCCTGACAATCGGAAAAAGTCTCGGTTCAAGACCTGATGATACCGACAAACTCCCTGTATTATGTCAGCACATAGGGCATTCGTATATTCCTTGCCAACCGTACATGCTGTTCAGGAGTCAGCACAATCTGAGCTGGAGACTTGTGGACTTCCACACCTAATGCATTGGAGCGTCACTCGACAGCTTGATAACAGACTTGATACTTCAACATGTCATGTTATGGATACTTCTCCATAAGAAAAGCCACTGTCACATGACAGTTGAATGCAGAGGCTCGGACTTCACAAGGCGTCACGTGATCCCTCGCCCCTTTGCACAAAACTTCGCTCACTTGAGCCCTTCATGAATGTGACCAATGTGGCATCGCTCAATGTGTGGGTCACTTGACTCCACTCTGCTCTGCAAAACATTCCTGTGAAAATGTGAATGCTTGATCTCATGACATGTTGATGTAGATTACCTGTGTGTGGACTCTCTACCAGTGCGCTGAACCCCCGAAAAAGAAAAACTGGAGAATTTTTCACACACTCGAGCAGGCAATGCCCAAAAGCTCTGTGGCTGTAGCGGGTATTATACCCAAATTTAAAGTGTCAAAAACTCGATGGGCCGGTGGACGATGATGTCAATCGGCTCGATCTGCGGCGTCTGCAGCTTCATGAGGATCACCTTGAACATGTGGAGGGGCCACCAAGCCGATCAATGGGGCCAGCTCCTCATAATTGGCCGCGAGGTTCTCCAAGGCCTGGCCGAAAGTCCTGCGCAACATGCGCACCTCGGTCTGAAGGACCGACACATCATCCCGAAGTCTGCGCAGGGTGCGATGCATTCGGCCAATCACTTCGACTGTTTCAGTCGGTGGCAGGCAATGGACTTCCACGTAGGTGAGGATGCGATTGGCTGGGTGGCCTCCTCCCAGGTTGATGACATAGTTCCGGTTGCTGGCAAAGTGTCTCATACACAAAAAGAGCTCTCGGTCACATACCATCATATGAAGCCTGAAATTGTCGGCCAGCGTCGTGTCCCAGGGGATCCAGCGGGCTTCCGCCGACTCTAAGGCCGGACAAACGTACGTTTGAACCGGTAGTGATTCAAATCACATTCCGTCTGTCCTAAGCCTAAGAAAGGCAACAGTGAATCGACGGTGTACTCCGGGTCTTCAGGTTCACGAGAGGTGTAGGCCCTCATAGTGAATTGATCCGCGGGGAGCATGACCATCGTCATTCTGATATGAGCCACAAGCAAAGGAGGATCCCACTGAGGACGCCGCAGCAATATCCAGTGAAAAACCAGAAGGTAGAACTTGAACCGGCTGGAACTGGATGAAGTTGCACGCAAGAAGTGAAGGCTTTGCGTCCCTTCAGCTCGGCCGAGCGAAATCGCATCAGATGCGGCCGGGTGCAACGAAAAATTTCGATATGAAAATGAAATTCAATTTTAAGTTGAAGGTGAACTTCCAAACTTACTTTGAGTTGATGATGTTGACATCATGTATTTGTGACAAATGGATTGTCTTACAAACTGACATGTCAACTCATGAAGTTCACGTCACGGCACTTGCCGGTGGTTGTCACACTCGTGACTTGGAACCAAAATGCGACAATGCAATGCCGTAATGACATGTTTTCATGCGCAACTGGGAAAAACCACCGCAGCACTCACTGAATGTTCGTGTGGACATGAATTCCTCACATAAAAATCTATCATGACTTCATCATGAGAGTATTCTATATGTATCATGTTGGTAAGAACCCATTCATGGGTGAAATCCCTCATTTTTGGACGGTAAAACTTCTATTTCTCCAGGTCACCTCCCATATTTCAGGCTAGTGAAACCATGTAAACCCCCAAATAATTGAACCATCCTTAAACGCCCCAGAATTCCTCAAATCCCGGTGGCGGTGGCTGTCCTGATCCAGGCAGCCTTTTTCTCCAGTCTCGCCTCAAAGTCTTCCAAGTCCTCCTGAAACCAAAGGATCGGCTTATCATCCAGCCAGTCGCCTGTTGCAGCTGGAGCTGGGAAGAATTCTCCAAACTCTTGACCGGAAATGGGGCAATAATTGACCAAAAAATGAGATTGGGGGATCGGATAGTGCTTATCAACATGTTCCCAAACAATTCATGAGCGAAACCATTGGCTTTTCGAGTGGTTGGTTGCCTTGCATCAATATCATCAATGAATTGGTTTCAGGGGAAATCTTCAGGAAACCGTGGATTTTCCCATGAAATATGCCGGTTTCTTGTAGAATTTCCATCTCCAACTAACCCAACTGACTTTTGGAATGACCCATCTGCAACTGCTGCCCACAGCACGGATCTCGTGCTGTTCAGAGAAGAGCTCATGATCCAGGCATCGCTTCAACCTAGCGCCAACTTGGCGCGGCCGGAACCCCCAAAGATTGCTGACTATGACAGAAATCAACCTTGGGGATAGGACTTAATCTTGGGTTGTGACTTTAGCGACAACGAGGGTCATTATATGATATTATATGTTCTTTCCCTCCAGTGTCATCAAACATCGATGGCTTTACTCCATCTAGTTTATTTCCCAACTAGCCATGTTTGATTACCGGAGAGAGTATATATAATCGAAGGAAGTTTTAGAAGTCAAACTTCCGACAATATGGACAGATGAAAAGCAGAGATGGGAAGAATCAGAGAGAAGAGAAGAGTAGAAAAGAGAAGATGAGAGAAGAGAAAGACTCAGAAGAAAGAAGATGGAGATGCGCGAAAAGGTAGGAAAGTCGCGAAACACTGTGTTTTTCCAATGATTTGTGGCTCCGGAGGGTCGAAAAGTAGGCTCGCTAAAGCGGCGGGCGCAGAGCCATCTGGCCAGATGAGGGATGAAAAAGTGCACGCCGTTGTGGCGTGAAGCACATTTCCAAGTCAAAATGTACAAAGCACACCATGCTCGGACCACTTTTGGAAGTTGAGATGTCGAAAAAGTGCACGCCATTGTGGTGCGAAGCAAATTTCGAAGTCAAAATGTACAAAACACACCATATCAAACCACTTTTGGAAGTTGAGATGTCGAAGAAGTGCACGCCGCTGTGGTGCGAAGATATGAAGTCAAAATGTACAAAACACCACATGTTCGCGCCACTTTTGGAGGTTCAGATGTCGTTTGGCGTGGCAGGCGCAAGGGACTGTGCACCTCTTCAAAAGTGAGCAAAACGTGAGGGTTTTGTAGCATTTCCAAAAACAATGGCAGGCATGGGACATTTGAAGAGGATCTGCAAAGATGCATTTCGCGTGGCAGGCGCAGTACACATGTTCATGAGAGATGTTAGGAGGTCAGGGCGCTGATTTCCTGAGAGGGGTTGCATTTTGGAGCATCAGATCTGTAGGTTTGCTAAGATGATTTTGCGTCACAGGTGCAGCACTTCGTATGACCTGGCCTCAATTTTTCGTGGCAGGCGCAGTACTTTAGACAGGTGGAGTGGAAAAATCAGAAAACGCATTGGTACGAGGCCGTCAGCGTTGCACTCAACTTTCCATTTTTGAAGGAAGTCTCACAGAATTGTTTTGTTTTTGATGTTGTCAAGTTCAAAAATTGAAGAAGTCTCGCAGAATTGCTTCGTTTTGGATGTCGTCAAGTTCAAAAATTGAGGAAAGTCTCGCAGAATTGCTTCGTTTTGGATGTTGTCAACTTTGAAAATGAAGAAGTCTCGCAGCATTGCTTCGTTTTTGACGTTGTCAAGTTCAAACATTGAGGAAGTGTCGCAGACTTGCTTCGTTTTTGATGTGGTCAACTTTGAAAAAAAGAAGTCTCGCAGAATAGCTTGGTTTTCAAGCTTGCAGATAGACAGGTAGATAGATAGAATAGAAGAGAGAGAAAGAAAGAAAGAAAGAAAGATAGATAGATAGATAAAAAAGAAAGCTAGATAGGAGATAGATAGATAGATAGATAGATAGATAAAAAAGAAAGCTAGATAGGAGATAGATAGATAGATAGGTAGATTGATAGAAAGAAAGAAAGAAAGAAAGAAAGAAAGATAGATAGATAGCTAGATAGCTAGACAAACACATAGATAGACAGATAGACAGATAGATAGATAGAAAGATAGATAGATAGATAGGTAGATTGATAGAAAGATAGATAGATAGCTAGATAGCTAGTTAGATAGATAGATAGATGGATAGATGGATAGATAGAAAGAGAGGAAAAAGAGATAGATAGATAGATAGATAGATACCTAGATAGATAGATAGACAGATAGATAGATAGATACATAGATAGATAGATAGATAGACAGGCAGACAGACAGACAGACAGATAGATAGATAGTTAGATAGATAGATAGATAGCTAGATAGATAGATAGATGGATAGATAGGCAGGTAGATAGACAGACAGATAGATAGATAGATAGACAGATAGATAGGTAGATAGATAGGTAGATAGATAGCTAGACAGATGAGATAGATAGATAGATCGATAGATAGGTAGATTGATAGAAAGATAGATAGATAGCTAGATAGCTAGATAGCTAGTTAGATAGATAGATAGATAGATGGACAGATGGATAGATAGATAGAGAGAAAAAGAGATAGATAGATAGATAGATAGAGAGAGAGAGATAGAGAGATAGAGAGATAGAGAGATAGAGAGATAGAGAGATAGAGAGATAGAGAGATAGATAGGTAGGTCGATCGATCGATAGATTGATAGATCGATAGATCGATATATCGATAGAGAGAGAGATAGATAGCTGGTAGATAGATACATAGATACATAGATACATAGATACATAGATACATAGATACATAGATACATAGATACATAGATACATAGATACATAGATACATAGATACATAGATACATAGATACATAGAGACATAGAGACATAGAGACATAGATACATAGATAGATAGATAGATAGATAGAGATATAGATATAGATATAGATATAAATATAGATATAGATAGACAGGCAGACAGACAGACAGATAGATAGATAGCTTGATAGATAGATAGACAGATGGACAGATAGATAGTTAGATAGATAGATAGGTAGATAGTTAGATAGATAGATAGACAGATAGATAGATAGACAGATAGCTAGATAGATACCTAGATAGGTAGATTGATAGATAGATAGATTGATTGATAGATAGCTAGATAGATAGCTAGATAGGTAGATAGATAGATAGATAACTAGATAGATAGATAGATAGTTAGATAGATGGATAGATAGATAGCTAGCTAGATTGATAGCTAGATTGGTAGATAGATAGATAGATAGATCGGTAGGTAGGTAGGTAGGTAGTCAGAGAAAGAGAGAAAAAGAGAGAAAAAGAGAGAGAAAGAGAGAGAAAGAGAGAGAAAGAGAGGAGACCTCAGCCACCTCTCGGTCCATCAGTGGCTTCGCTCTGCGATCCGTGATTCACAACAACCAACCTCTCCTATAGGTTTCCTATTTTGAAACTTCCGCCACCGCCTTGTGCGATACTACTGGTATAATGTATAGAATATAACACGTAATATTACATAACTATATTAACCACATATTTTTGAGATCGAATATAATATGTGTGTATAATATATATATATATACATATACATATATAATATAAACTGCAAGCCTTCTGTCCATCAACGTTGGAGCTACAACGCCAAGCAACCAATCTTCCACCTTTGGGAAGTCGAAGGGCAGCAAGGCCATGACCGGCGCCAGGCCACACACGCCATAGAGATCCGCCAAGGTCAAGTCGTTTCCCACCAGATATGCGTCGCCTAAGAAGCGCCCAACGGCGCGAGCGCCGTTGGCTTAACAACCGGTGGTGCAACGTTCACCCGGTGCTGGAAAAAACATCAAAAAACATCCTGTAGTTAGCTTAGATAGTTGATAATATCTAACATTTGACATAAAAATTATAGAAAATGTGTGATAATTCGATCCCATGTCTGCCACTGTTTGGGCTGTTCTGACCCTTTACAGGGGCTTCAAAAAGGCCGTCATGATCTCTGGGTGTCAAGTGGTTCTCCCCTTTGCTTTATGGCTCAAAATTATTCAAAAGTGGCCCATGTTCACCAACCCCTAGTTGGTTCCAGAAAATGGCAAGTGACTGCTGCCTTCCAGAAACTCTGAGAACGTCTCCTTGGCTCACTGCTGATGACTTTGGAGGCCACCAACTGTGGAGCTGAACCACTGGGGGCCCCTAGTGTCACCACTCGTCACCACAAAGAAATCACACGTGGAACGGCCAAAAAGAATTCTGTCATGCGTCACAGTCCACAAAACAGGTCTTGAAAATGTCCAGGAAACTGCTTTGAAAGAGGTTTTACCATGTTTTACCATGGTTTACCATGGTTTGCCTTAAGTTCAAAAATATGGCCAGTATTGATCCAGTCTACAACTGATCTCTTTCCGAGTTTCCAGGTGTAGCTTCAGCTGACAGCAGTGCTGCAGCGCCCGTGGACAGCGCCAGTGCTGCCGCAGCGCCTCACAGCGGATCCGCAGCGGACAGCGGTCGAAGAGGCCGCGGTTCGTGGAGAGCGCGCCGCGGAAGGCGTCCAGGTCCTATATCAACTCCAGTTGGATGCGAAACCACCAGCAGAATAACCAGAGCCCACCTCCCAAGTGGGATAACCAGCTGGTTATAACCAGCATTTGTTTCAGATGTTGAAACATGTTGAAACATGTTGAAACATGTTGAAACATGTTGAAACATCTACACTGGCATACCTCGTCACGACTAACCAACTAACCTCGGCAGTCCTTGAAGAACCGGATCCAGGCATCAACGCGTGGGCCCCGCTGCTCCGACACTCCCGAAGCCTGCGGAGAAACTTGGAATGTGTGACACATCTGGTGCAGTTGCCACCTGAAGTACAAGAATTGCATCACTGAAAAGATGTCAAAAGAGTGTGTCAAAAATATGAACACCTTGGATACCCAAAGAAGATGGTGAAAGGATCAAAAAAATACAAATGGCCAAAGCCTATCAAAACCTATCAAAGCCTGGCTTTTGGGGCCTCCAAAGTTGGGCCCATGGATGAAACACAACTAATGATGTGGATGGAGTCCCAAATCGAAAAAGTCATCCAAGAGATTTTCCTCAGAAACATTCAGAAACTCAGAAACTCTATGTGCATTTTCCCATGCGAAAATCCCATGCTTTCATACAACCGAGGCCCCCTGGGACGGCAGACCTTGAGCCGCTCCAAGCAATAGGTCACCGACAGAACGTGGTCGTTGAAGATGCCAACCATTGCAACAGATGGATAGTTTCTAGTGGTTTCTGCTCTTAGGGGTTGAACCATGATTTCGGGGGGTTCTCAGGAACCCAAGTCGGAGCGCAATGCAGAATGGACTTGGAAGCGAATAGGAAAGTTGATGTCCTTGGGTTCCATGGTAGTTTTCTAAAAGTTGTACAAAGTAAAACTAAACTCCCACCTCAGCCATGTTTGTTGCCACTCCTGATGCGAAGATCATTTCTGAGTAGAAGAGATATCATGATATTAGAGAATATTAGAGATATGAATGATATCCCCCAGTCCTATCCATTCTTGGCCCATTTGCTTGGTGCCATCCCTCGCATCATGTCGCATGAATTTTCAGCCAATGGCTTCAATTGCCCAAGCCTTGGGCAACTGGGGCCGAAAGGAACATGCAGTCCGGGAAGCAGAAATTTGAAATACCGCAAGATCACAGGGTATCATATGGAAAAAATGAGGTAACAATTGAGAAATTCCTCCAGGGTCTACTAGGTACGAGTAGGGATAGAAATCAATTGATAGTCATTGTTAGATGTTTGAACCATCTTGAACCACCAGCGAGTCTTGCTTTTTGATCTTTTTGGTTTGGTAGGTCCACAGCACCATCCCTCGGCCAAGTGGACCAATGTTTGAGGCTTATGTCAGTTAAATATCCATGTTCATTGCTTAAACCTGGTTTTCCAATGTTTTCCATGGTTTTCCCTTCATTCAAAAAATGACCTTTTTTCATCCACCTCCCAACCACTAAAGCAACATTCCAGGTGCCTACCACCAAGGCGTGGAAGCATCCTTCATCTTCAAAGAGCACTTCGAAGAACAGCCTCGCTGGAACAGTCGATGTTGGCTGCATTCTGATTCGAAAGGAAAGATCCACACTGCGGCCTCCAGTTCAATCTAAACAAACGAAACTCTCCATGAGTCTATATCTATGATCTATATCATCTAGCTTACTTCATCTAGCTTTCAAGCCATTTTGTCAAGAAAAATATGGTGCCTGGTGGAAGAGCAAGTTGCATGATATATACACAATATATATATATACAAGAATTGCCGATCAAGATGAAAATTTCTCGATATATAAATGTTATTAGATTTTTAAAAAGATATTACATTTTTTTTGCATGCAAAAAAAAAAACCTAGGATTCCAGCATCGCGTAACTGCCTGGTTTCCATCCCCCCACTTCTCCCAGCCACTCTGCCAGGTAGTCCACTCCAGCCACATCGGTGCACCTCGGGGCCACTGAATCCAGTGGATTACGCTAAGCCCTTGATTTTTGATAGCCCCAGATAGAATTTCGGCATCGAAGCTGGTTGGAAAACGCTGATTGCATGGTGTTTCCCGCCACAGCGACTCGTTGATGTAATTGATCATGTTGATCCCACGCGGAACGTTGCGCCCAATAATCCAGCCCTGCAGCCGGGGACGTTACAATGCAACCAGGAACCCTGTAATGTGGTGACTGCTGACCCCCAAAGGGGAAAAAATGGGATAAGTTGGGGATGGTTTTCATTTGCTTTACCACTCGACGTGATTTCAGATAACGATTTCAGATCCAGCAAGAAAACATAGAGTACAAATCCATTCTGTGGCTGACTGTGGGAAGACTTACCGGTAGATTGCAATGGTTGAACTTCATAGATGTGGGGATGGGTCAAAACCCTGGTACCTAGTGAACCCCAAAATAGCTGGTAAATGGATGTTCATCCCACTAAAAATGGTATGTATAGGTATTGACCCATAGCCATGTTTCAGGCAAAATTCACTGCAGTTTTTTGTGTCTTGTTTGAGTCTCGCAGTCCCATCCTGCCCATCCCATGTTGCGACAACTGTGACAGAACGGTCCTTGTTGCCCCGGAACCACGTGACCATGCAACTCTCGCCTTGTGTCACATGGGTTGTTCGGAAATGGGCTAGGTACCACCAATCTATGGCTATTTTCATGGGGAAAGAGTGTTGTTGTTTTTGACGGTTTAAATAGGAAAATATTGGAAAATCATGATCGAACTTTGGATGGATCCTCCAGACAAAGTGCCATGGTACATTAGGGATTCCTGTTAATGGATATATCAATATCGTTTCAATGGGGGAACGACCATCCCGTTTTATGGCACACATGAGGCTGGCTGTCCGACCCATTCCGCAAGGATGAGTGCATGGATCATCTTCCAAAGCAATGGATATGGCATCATGTTGAACGGCATTGAACGGCCACGTTGCCAAGCCACTTAGGACACCAAAGGGCAGCACGGTGTTCATCCTAGACTCCTTTACCTTAGACACGAGCCATCGCCACAGGCAAATCCCTTACAGGTTCCACCCAAAAATGGCCATTTTCCACAGGAAAATCATCGTTCAAACATGCCCAAATGCCCAGACCTTAACTTTTTTCCACCCTGTTAGTTTTCGGGGATCTTGACCCATCCGCAGAGCGCTTCCTGGAAAACTCACTGGGAGGGAAAATCTTAAAGGATTGGAGGGGATTGGTGAGGGGTCCTGCAAGTTTTCCTCCAAATTCTCTCTGCCAGAATTATCCCAGCCTTGGGTTGCATCACCAAGAATCAAGGATCATTCCTGGTAGTGTATATAATACATATATATATACATAAAATATCATATCCCTACTGTTTTTTGGACCATCCTGGACTGTCCGCGGGCGAGATACTGCCTCCACACAGGAGAGAATGAAGCCCAGTGCCAAGAGTCTCTCGGCCCTCAGTGAGTCAATGGGGTCCTACATATTTTCCCTTCGACCGATCTTCAACGGTGATGACTCTGGGCAAACCACTCAAGAGATCTCAAGAGATTATGATGCTTCAAAAATCTGGGTGTCTGCGGGTGACCCCAATGTCAAGTCCATACAAATCCACCTTGAAAAGAAATAGAGAGAACGGCACGATCGTTGCCAGTTCTGCAGGGACTGTATCAATGTATTGGATACTGTACCCTGGCCTATATATATTTATATGATATAATATATTTTATATATATATACCAAAACAAATATATTCAAAAATGGATATTCAAAAATGGATGGTTTCCTCTAAATGTTCCCTTCAACCAACTCTGGGAAGAAACCGTCACGTTGATTTAAGACTTCCGAACCTGTTTGGGCGGTCATCTGTATATATCAAACCAACCAACCCACCAACCAACCAACCAACCCACCAACCAACCACCAACCAACCAACCAACTCTGCAGAGTGCGTGCGACCCCAAAAATCGACAGAAAAGTTGGACACCTGGAATTCATTAGGCAAAAAGCATCCACAACACGATGGAAAAACTATCTTTTGGGGGACCCTTGTATTGGTGCATGACTGAGGTGTTCATGGAGTCCGTCATGGCATGAGAGAAAACTGTGGATTCAGTGGCACCACAAACTGCCCTGCAAAAGCATTGTCAACACATTCTGCCTAGACCATAATCCACTTAGCATGTGGGGAAATACCCTCGCTTGGAACATTCCGCATTGCTTGAGTATCTGATCCACAAGTCGGCTGAAACTCTAGTGACCGGTTGCGATAAGCAGAATGATCATCCAACAGTAGGTCACTTGCCCACGTTTTCATGCCCAATCTGTATCCCAGCGGCAAAACGATCAATACAGGTAGAAAGCGAGAGGCCACACCTTCCACTGGTTAGTTGACAGCATGTTGGATCACAATAATCCTTACTAGACCGGCTCATGTACCCCGGCTGGGCCAGCAGTACAGCGGACGCATTCAATGCCTTTTGTTTCCGGGTGTGAAATAGTTTTAGGATTTTTTTTTTCAGCAGGTTTGGGAATTTTTTTTGGATTTCTTGGCTGGTACCATTTGCCTAGTGTTTGCAACGGTTTGGAACTTGAATTTGTCATTTTGCATGGTATTTGCCACATTTGGGCATGTTCACCTTCCATTTTGCATGGGATTTACTACATGTGGGCATGTTCACCTTCCATTTTGTATGGTATTTGCCACATTTTGGCATGTTCACCTTCCATTTTGCATGGGATTTCCTGCATGTGGGCATGTTCACCTTCCATTTTGTATGGTATTTGCCACATTTTGGCATGTTCACCTTCCATTTTGCATGGGATGTTCTACATGTGAGCATGTTCACCCAAATATTTACAGATGCAGAAGCTTGGGATTAGATAAAAAGCGGGTGGGGGGGATTGAGGGAGGGCGCTAGCTATCTATCCAGCTAGCTAGCTATCTAGCTATCTATCTAGCAAGCTAGCTATCTATCTAGCAAGCTAGCTATCTATCTAGCAAGTTATCTATCTATCTATCTATCTACCTATCTAGCTAGCTATCTTGCTAGCTATCTATCTACCTATCTAGCTATCTAGCTAACTATCTATCTAGCTATCTAGCTATCTAGCTTTCTATCTATCTAGCTATCTATCTATCTAGCCATCCAGCTGTCTATCCAGCTATCTAGCTATCGAGCTATCTAGCTAACTATCTATCTAGCTATCTAGTTATCTAGCTTTCTATCTATCTAGCTATCTATCTATTTAGCCATCCAGCTGTCTATCCAGCTATCTAGCTAACGAGCTATCTATCTAGCTATCTATCTATCTGGCTAACTATCTGCCTATCTATTTAGCTATCTATCTATCTATCTATCTAGCTATCTATCTAGCTACCTCTTTATCTATCTAGCTAGCTATCTATCTAGCTATCTATCTATCTAGCTATCTATCTAGCCATCTATCTATCCAGGTATCTAGCTATCTATCTCTCTAGCTATCTATCTATCTAGCTGGCTATCTATCTATCTAGCTATCTATCTACCAAGCTATCTATCTATCCAGCTATCTATCTATCTATCTATCTATCTATCTATCTATCTATCTATCTATCTATCTATCACATGTAATCCTGTCAGCTTTCCAGAGAAGGTTAGTTCGCAAAAACCAACTAATGTAACTTGGGTTTAAGTTTAAATTTAATCTGCAAGGCCGCAAGCGCAAATAATGTAACTTGGGTTTAAGTTTAAATAAAAAAAAGCGGGAGGGGGCTCCCCCCAAAGCAGAATGCAAGCACCTCTTCTCACATGTTACGTTGCAAGTTTTCAAGAGAAGGTTGGTCATGTGATACTCAGGGATGTAAATACTGTGCAAAATGCATCTTACATGAAAATCAAGTATTTAAAGCAGGCAAAGCAAAAAAAGCAGAGAAGCAAAAAAGCAGAGAAGCAAAGAAACAGGAAACGCACAAAAGCAAAACAGCAGAAAGGCAAAGAAGCAGGAAAAGCAGAAAAGCAGAGAAGCAGGAAAAGCAGGAAAAGAAGGAAAGCAGGAGAAGCAGGAAAAGCAGGAAAAGCAGAGAAGCAGGAATCCAAAAATAATTCCTAAACCTGATCAAAAAAAAAATCCTAAAATAATTAGCCCTCCTTTGTTTCCCCCCAATTTGACCATGGTTCAAATTTCGGGGCTGAAAAAGAGGACGAACAGAAACCTTGACAACTAACGAAGCAAAGAAACATGAAGAAAAAAATGTAGTATGATTCAGTATGATGTAGTTCATTGGATGCTGAATCATGTTGAATCTTAACAGTCTTAACATATCTTGGTGCCAAATCGACCTCGTCCCCGCCTCGCGCATCAAGGCCTTGAAGGAACTTCCGCCAGAAACATGTTTCGATCTCCTGGATCGCCCATTTCCAACATGGGAAAGCCATGTTAAATACACCCCAAAACTACAACTTCCATCCATTTCCAGGATGTTAGTTGTGGAAATCATGAAAAAAAACATCACCAACTAACATCGAAATACGGTTTCCACAGTTCCACCACAGGTATTTTCCACTTGGGTCAAATCGGTGGACACTAAAACAGCCGCTCCTCGATGCTCGCATCACCTGTGAAAAGGTGCGAAATTACAGCATAAAATTCACCGTTCTCCAGCAATAAATGTTGTTTATGTTGATATCATTATTGTTACTATTGATAATTGCTGTTGTTATTGTTGTTGTTACTAGTCTTATTTGTTGTGATTAACTATTATATGGTATCATGTTCTACTATCACAAAATGTTATATAATTATATAATATATAACTATATATATACATATATATATATATATATATTATTATTATTATATATATATATATTATATATATATTATATATATTATATATTATAATAATAATAATAATAATATATATTCATAATATCATATCATATCTTATTATTATATGTATATCATATTCCGTTCTGTCATAATATATTGTTGTTATATCATGCTATGCTAAGCAATCATAGAATGTGTTATGTTTTTGAGGTGTCATGACGTTTTATGACGTTTCACGATGCGTAATTGTATGTGTGATGATGTTTTGATGATGTCTATCGAGTAATTTTTGAGTATGCTTGATGATGTTTGATAATTTCTGGCTGTTGCCCAAAGAAGGGGACCCTGTCACGGTGCACGGATGCTGTGATGGCTTCAATCTGTTTCCCCCCCGTGAAGAGCTAAAAATGGATGGTTGAGGTCGAGACATAAACGAGTCCAGTGGTTTATCATCCCCATTGCAGCCGGATGGTTATCGCCCCACTTCTGGGCGGGCAATCGTCTCCTACACATTGGCCAAGGTGCTTGGCAGATCCATCCTTGGGATGCAGCACCGATGGGGAACCCAGTCCCATAGCAAACAAGGAAGTGGACGTGCCAAATCATTCATCCATGTCAAACATGTTAAACACCAAGGAAATCCAAGACCAGAAAGCCAACCAGGGGATGGGTACTCCATCCCCCTAAAAGACCATGTTCAGGTTCAGAGTTCAAGGCATCCTCAAAGCAACCTTCAGGAAAGTTAGTCAAGTCTCTGATGTTTGGATTTACAGTAGGCGTATCCCCATTTCCGCGTACAGATTCTGACGACTATGAAGGGCTAACCACTAAGAAGCATCCCACGAAACTGGTGGCTTTGGGGCTCCAAATTTCAGAGCAAATTCCCTGGCTTGGCACTGCGACCAGAAAAAAACCAGGCAATCATACAGAGAAGATCTGGAAATTCCCATGAAACTCCGAAACTGGAAACCACCAAATACCCTCTGGTAATTTAACATAGCTATTGAAAATCATCATTTTTAATGGGAAATTCCACTATTTCTATGGCCATTTTCAATAGCTATTTTGACATAACCAGAGGGTAACAGACCGGTCGCAAGTCTGCCCGACCGTTGTCAAGGAGCCAAAGGATGCGATAGAGGTTCAATGGCAAAAGGATCAACGTCGCCAGACTGTCAATCAACGTCAAGAAGGAAAACCTCGGCCGACTGCCACTGAATATCTGCAGCAAACAGGAGCAGGTTGGAAGATGTTGGAAGTATATCTTGAGTTACTCCCATATATTCTCATATCATCCCATATCCATATCACTGTAGATTCCCGCTGGGCCAAATGCATGGGTCCCAGATCCCGAGAACGACTGTGCCATCAGTCCCAGAATGGCAAAAAAATCATGATGATGCTCTGAATCTGTGTGAAATCACTCCACACATTTCAGACATATCATTGGAATTCATTGGATGCATTCAATGTTTGGCCCCAACCAATCCCAACCACACAAGCCATGGCATGGTTCTGATTCCGGTTGTCTGCAAAAAAACAACGGTCAGACGTAGTCAATGTAGTCAGCAGCCAAGGTACAAGATGAGCGTGAGCACCATCAGAATGACAGTTCCGGGGGTCTTGCTGCCAATGCAGCCTGAGATGTTTTTCAGCTGGAGGCTACTAACATCCTCGTCATGACCGAATAGAGATTTCATAAAACCGCCAAGTTGCCAAGAAATTTCCAAGTAACACAGTGCTTTTAGCCAACTTGCTGTTGAACGTCCCAAAAAAACATCATAAAAAGATATTAAAAAAAGATAGCAAATCTACCAAACTGACAGTTTCCCAATGTCCTCCATCAAATTGATAAAAATCTGCAACTCATCAAAGAATTCATGTCCTGCACCAGCCCTGCAGCAATTTTCCCCACCAGCACCGGATGCGGTTTTAACCACCACAGGAACTCTTGTTGAAAATCCTCAGGTTCGTTCGATACCAGCCTCCCGGCGAAAAGCGACTGGGATATGGTTTGGGATGTCACGAATTTCCCTGCAGCCACTATGGCTGAGAAATGAATTCCATCAGCAAAATCGATGTTTATTCAGCTGGTTGTATGGATATGTATGGATATGATATGTATGAATGTTTGTTCATATTCAGAAAACAACCCATAGCCAATAGCAATATCGCGATGGATGGTTTGAGGGATGGGCCTAGGCTTCTGGAGCAAGTGTGAGGACGTCTTTCAGGCGGATGCACCAAACACACTTCTTAAGAAAAAGACTGGAAACCATCAACAGAACTGGGTCCATCACTTTCATCCCAACATTCCGACTGAACTCTTTCAGACCTTTCATCAATCTGTATCAACCGTCCGTCAATCTCCATCAATCATCATCCGCCGAGATATGCTCGTGGCATCCCTCGCCTGATTGGTCAGTGACCTGCTTAAAGGACAGCAAGACGTTGATGCGCTGCTGCGTGAAAAAGATCCCAGCCTTGACTTAACGCTACTTAACATCTGGGGAAAATGATGATCGACCCCTGAGATTGGGGTACCTTATCTTTAAATATCTTTAACAGCGAAGAACTGAAGGACCGAAGGATAGATTTGGATGTGGAATCCAACTTGCCGAAACCACGGAGATAGAAAAGTTGTCTCTGCAAATGTGCTATGATGTGCTTTCATCCAGGGAGGGTCAACTCCCAAACTGCTGAATTAAGTGACAAACAATATTTTGCAGCCCCCTTGGGCGGTCCTGAGCAGATTCTTAGTTTGAAGCTTTCAAAAACAGAAATTCATCAAATATGAAATCCCCTAGTTGCAGTTGAATCATGAAATATGATGAAATATGGATCCATTTCCTAAAGTCATGACCAGTTCCCAAAAAATCCATTGGCTTTTCCTCAACGGTCGCAGAATTTCCGAATTTCCCAGGCCAAGCTACAGAGTTCTTCTTGCCAGGCACCTGTGGCTAGGTAAGTGTCGCCCCCTTTTTTTGATGGGAAAAAATGATGGGAAAATGAAAAGCTGGGGTAGCCATAGTTCAATAGTTCTGGCTCTTCTCCACTCCTTTCAAACAAAAATTGTTTCCCAGACAGCTCGACCATCTTAGACCACTTCGTCTCCAAAACCTCCTAGGTGGCTGTTCATCATTGGCTAGTGTTTGTCCCCCTCATGGTTCAATACACTACAGCGTATACCAATGGTCCCAACCTCCCTTTTTTCACGGTCATCCTATGCCCCCAATGAGCGAGGGCCCATTCTGCCGAGTGACAAAAGCCACCTGGTAGTGAGCAGAAATCTCTTGGGGTTTGCATAGACCTGGTCATGTGGCCACAGGTATGGCTCAACTGGTGCACAAAAATTGCCCTCTCAAGAATATTTGTTCAGAAGTCAAAGAGACAGTAGTTTTTATCGGGTAGGAAATTGTTTGTTTATTTTTTGGGGTTTAGGAAATTATTTTTGGATTCCTGGCTGTGCGTATTTTCCATGCTACTTGCAGCATTTGGGAGCTGGAACCTTCCATTTGCATACCATTTGCAGCGTTTTGGAGCTGGAACCTTTCATTTTGCTTGCCAGTTGCAACATTTGGAGCTGGAATCTTCCATTTGGCATGCTATTTACAAGCTGTTGTTGGTTGTTGGTGTAATTGCGGGTTCTTGTTTGTTTTGTTATTTGTGTTGCAGTTGCAGCTGTTGTTGTTGCTGTAGTTTTTGTAGTTATAGCTACAGCTGTAGTTGTAATAGTAGTTTCTTGTTGTTGTTGTTGTTGCTGCTGCTGCTGCTGTTGTTGTTACTGTTGCTGTTGTGGTTCTGGAGGGACATACCAACAACTGTTGATGTTGTGGTCTTTGTTTGGGTGTAGGCCGTGTTTGTGATTACCTTACGATTGTGGTTTGGGTTGCGGTGAACAGGTTGACACAACAAAGCCATGAAGTCAAGAAGCCCGTAAAGCTGTGCAAAGCCAAGAAGAAAGAAAGCTGGCGAAACCATCAAGGCCAAAAAAGAGCAGAGAAACAAACAACAACATGCAGAGCCGTTTGCGTGGTATTTGCAATATTTTCAGCATTCTGCAACGTCAACCTGCATTGTGGAGATAGAACGTCTCGTTTTGCATGACATCTGTGACATTCGGAAGATAGACCCTTTCTAGTTGCAACAAAGCACAGAACAAAAACAGAGAAACAAAAAACAGAGAAGCAGAAAAAACAGAGAAGCGCAAAAGCAGAGAAGTAAGAAAAACATAGAAGCAAAAGAAACAGAAAAGCAAAAAAGGCAGAGAAGCAAAAAAATAGAAAGCAAAAAACGGAGAAGCAAAAACCAACAGAGAAGCATAGAAGCAAAAAAACAGAGAAACAAAAAAGCAGAAAAGCAGAGAAGCAAACAAACGGAAAAGCAGAGAAGCAGAAAAGCAGCACAGTAGAGAGGAGGGAGGAGTCCACAAAAAACTGAACCAAAAGCGCCCTAAATAAATGGCTGCTGGTTTTTATCTTCCTATCAGAACTCACGAATGAATTTGGGCTACCACACGGTGTGTATATTCTTACAACAAATATGTGCGGACAAACACACATATGCGGCCATGTGCATCAAGAGAAGTAGGGCTGCACATAGTATGTTCATGCCTGTCATGCTATGTCTGGACAAGTACGACTTTGGTACAAAACCAAAAGGTTGAATCAACTGAATCCTGAAAGGATAGTTGGAGGATTCAGGTATGAGATTCAGCCATTCAATTGTCCGAAATATCCAACCTGCATCCAAAATGCTGAAGCCAAGGGGCTGATGAGACTGAAGTGATGGTTGCGACATTCCGAGTTGAGATAGCCTGCCGATGGGGGATGCCTTAGAGTGACTGTTGAACCTGGACCTAAATATATGGGGTTTCCATGAATATCATGAATGGTACCCCAAAATGGATGGTATTTCATGGGAAATCCTATTTAAATGGATGATTTGGGGGTACCCTTATTTCAGGAAACCTCCATATTCATGTTTCTGAAAATCGCAGTGATTGCGTGGTTTCCTTGTACCACGCAAGCCAGACTCATTTCAGAAACATCACGTTGGAACCATGTTGAAAGAGGTGCGTGGTGACAAGGTGATGTTTCTTGCTGTTCTAACTCGCCAAAATCCCAAGAAACTGAAAACAAAATCAACATTCATGATTCTTGGATTTGCAGGGACTCCAAACATTCCAAAACAATCAAGAATATGTCCAACAAAGTTTCCCCGGTCGAATTGATCGGAAAATGATCCAAAATCACCAACAAAAATCAACGAAACACAATCCCAACAAATTTTGCCGCCCCCAGGACCATCGCGAGTCCTCGGATGGGCCATTGAAATTCCTTCAAATGCTTCTCGGCGAAAACCAGGAATTCCTAGCTGGCAGCATGCTGAAAAAAAAACGGTTTCTTCACCACGAATGGAGATCATGGATGCCATGAATTCGCTGGGATGATATGAGACTATGCTCATTATTTATATACATACATATTTATATTTTTTGATTTCACTCGGTCCGTGTCCCAATCCAGACGCCTGCATGCGAACACATTCCAAAAGCTATTGTAGCAGAATGTGTGGAAAAACTTCAAAGTCGCTGCCCTTCACTTCACATGACATCTGCCATGTGGCTACTCAGCAGGATTAAACAAAATCAAAATTTGCCACGCCAGTAGTCGTTGGTCATCTCGGTCCCTTTGGCATCCCATAAATAAGGATCAAACCCCGGAGATAGCGCCAAAAGAGCCTGCTCCAACATTTCTGGATCGGGCTCGTGTCCTTCCTCGGTCATTGATTCGGCATGCCGAAGGTGAGTTTCTGCAATCACCTGGCACATGCGAGGTGGATAGGCTTTGGCCTTGGCCGTCTTCCATCCTCCTCCACCGCTTTCACGACCTCCCAACCACTCTGTCGGTCTCCATCCTGGCTGATATTGTTTGAACAATTCCTGCGCAAAGTCCATGAGCCTTCCAGTGAGAATGGAGGTTGGCTTGGTAAATGGCTGGCCCAATGGACCTTGTACAAAGTCCACACGCTTGACATCAGGCAACAACAGAAGCTGCTTAATCATTGCTGAATCCCAAATTGTCCAACGGCCTTCCCGGCCCTCAGCTCCCTTAGGGTGTTCCAGCGTGAATGAGCCTCCATAGCAATATGTCAATAACAGCAAAGCCAGTGCCTTCATCATGAGCTGCGTGCCGACGAAGCACTGGATGACCTCTTGGATTGTCAAACCATCCTTACCCCATGGTGAATCCATGTCACGAAGCGGCTGTGGTGCTGGCCCGTCATGAACTTCTATCCACCTTGCCAGGGTATATGTCTCGCAAGGGGGTGCGGCGTGCGCACCCACCACTTTTCGAGCTTGGATGAGTTGCCGCCACAAAGAATCGTCCTGCAGATTGCCATAGGTCTTGCTGATGGCAAGATCTATACTGATCGGGCACACCGATCCTTGCCACTCCATCCAGCTGGCAATATCGGCAAACCGGCGATGGCCGCTAAAAAAGATCAAAAAATATCGCTGCCCGCAGGATAACGGGCGCGGTATCCAATCAAAGCACGGCTGCCATTGCTGCACCCGACCAAGCATTCCTTGCTCCAGCTTTTCCATGGCTCTGTTGAGACTGCAAAGCTGCATCTCCTGCGGCTTCCTAAGGGTCTTGTTCCGACCACCCCGACCTGGTGGCAACATTCCATAGGTTGACCAAAGAGCCAGTTCTTCTGTCGTTGGCGCTGCCTGACTCTGCACATATTCCGCCTTTTCGGACAAAGTCGTTTGCAGCTCATGTGGTTCACACACTCTCCATATACCATCAACAGAAGCCTCAACAAGACCTGACTGATGCATCGCCACTCCTTGCTGTCTGTCCCGCTCATCAAGGCTTTCAGCTTCTTCCACCGTCATGGGTACAAACCTGCGACACTGCTCAATCCAGCATCCTGTTGTCCCCATGTGCAGGTGACGTAGCAAGCGAGGCCTCGTGTGAAAAAACCTCTTGCATATTCGGCATGCTGAATCCACTGCAAACCGTCGCATGGCCATCCTTAACCCATGCGCTCTTTGCTGATGAACCGCCAACGAGGCTTCTGTCGGAAATTCTTTGCGACACAATCCGCAAACACACACAGAAGTATCTTCATCAGTCTGCTCAGCGTTCACGGACAAAACCCAACCCATTTCCCTCAACATCTGATCTTGCTCTTCAGAATGTTTTTTGACAGTGAGGTATGCCCTGATCTTGAAAAGATGGGATTTTTGTGCTTTCTTGAGATTCCTCTTCAAAGTACTGGCAAAAGGCCTAAAATCTTCCCATGTCTGACGTTCCTGCAAATTGCTGACTTCCTCAGGAACCAACATGTCTCCGATTTGCCGTCTCATCCAATTGACCGCTTTCATGGCACCATATAACCATGACCTCTCTTGCATGACAACATGATTGTGCAACAACGCCCCGATCATGTATTCGTCAGCCACTTGCATGATGTGAAAGAGCAAACGCAGTCTTTGTACATACAACAACTCCATCGGAAGAGGGGATTCCATGTCGCTGGCCAACTCAAAAAGCTGCAAATGCCGCACATTGCCTTGCACATCCCTTGGCTGAATTTGCTGGTATACTTTGAAGACACCAGCTTGCCATGCTTCATACTCACCTTGTGTCAGGTCATTCCATGTGCCTGCATGAAGAGTCAAAACAGAGAGCCCAATGCTTTTCACCAGCAACCTCTTCTTCTCCATATCCAACATCACATTCTTCAACAACTTGTTCAATGGCTGAAGCTTCGCTAGCGCATTGGCACCTCGTACTCTGATTTCCTGTAAGCAACTTCCAACCCTGGTAATGTGTCCACCCAAATGTTTGTAATGAGCCACCAACGGAATCATGACGCACCCGTTGTGTTCCGACAGGATTGGCAACCCATCTTTGTAGTTGCGTTCCAAGTTCTGTCTGGCAGCTGTGGACCCCTCACCATGAAATGCAAAAATAACCGCTGTTTTCCCCACACCTGTGGTCAAAACCATGCCGTGCTCCAACATTACCTCTTGAATGATGGACATCATGTGGATCGCCTTGTTGACAACCTGTTCCGCAGACGCACAAACTGATACTGCCAGATCATCAACCCACGTCACACATCGTGCAATTGGTTGACCAGTGATTGCATCTCTGAAATAAAGCGGCATTCCTGCATGAGTCGCTCTCTCATGGATCTGCCCCATGATGCGCGACATGATCAGGCTGAACAGCACATCTGCCCCAGGATCTCCGGGCCTTGATCCCGTGGCCGGCGATTGAATACAATGTGCATCAGGTATTATGAACCATGTATGCTGTAAGAGCGCCCTGGTGTTGTCCGCCAAAATCTGTGAGTTCGTAGACTTCATGACAGTATTCTCTTGATTCACGTTCGCCTTGAACTGCTCCCACACCGATGTGGGTAGCCTCATGTGGTGAAACACTTTGCGGATGTTCTCTTCGGTGCTTCCTCCTGTCAACATCTCTTTGACCACAGTGTAAAAGGCTGATTTGATGTCAATGAAAAGCCAAGCTTGCGACACACGCTCTTGACGTGCTTGAGCTTGCCACATCTTGACCTGCAAGTGCAAGCTTTCAATTGATAATCCAGACCTTCCTCCCCACTGCATTGGTTGAGCTATGTTGCAAAGTCCACGCACCATGTTGGGTCTCCATGCCCTAGAAATTGCTCTTGCTACGACTGGTTCAAGGAGAATAGCTCTGTAGCCTCTCATTGCCTGTGCACTGCCCCGTCCTTTAAACAAAGGAAGCAACCATCCTCCCGTCAGCTCAGGGACACCTTGACATCGAAGGCCCATCTTGAGCACCATGGGGTAGATCCTTCGTGCTGCTTGTGCAACATGACCTTGGAACAACTCAGCCCCGAGGCCGTCAAGACCCGGGGCTTTTGTTGTATCCAATCGTCGAAGAGCCTTTTCAACATCCAACAAAGTCGGAATTTCCTGTAGATGTCTCACCTGCCGCTGTATGCACACCGGTTCTGACTTGCCCATCAGTTCCTGAAACGTGACTGTATGGGCATTTTCGACCTCAGCGAACTGCCGTTGCCATGCAGAAGCAATGTCTGAACGAGAAAATTTCCATTCACCTTCCATGTCCTTGTATCCCGGCATGGGCTTGTTCAACTTGCCTGCATGCTTGGCAATCATCTTCTTGGGCTGAAGGATTTTGAAGAGAGCATCGTTGGGGAAATGGTTGGCAGTACTGATCTTGCGATCAAGCTGCTCCTGCACCCAGTCTTTCCAATCCTGCTTTTTGCACGCTCGAAACTTTGCATCAATGTTGCATCTTGCCTCCATGATGACTGCGGCCTGCTGTCGCAGGAGAGCTAGGTCCCAATCAACCAATTTGTTCTGTGCCTCACACTCCCCTTTGCTTCTCCAAACTTCGAAAACCATTCTCAGCAAATGCCTTTGAATAGACCTGTGAATTTCCCTGTGCTGCTGTCTCAAATCCTTGCGGTCACACAAAAGCTTCCAGGTTCGCTCACTAAAATACAATTGCCTCGGTTTCCGCTTTTGGCGTGGAAACTGATTTGCAGCACCAATCTGAAGATGTTGTCGCATACCCGCCCAATGTGCATCGACATCCATAGACCATGGCTGAACAGGCAAGCTATCCAGAATTTGCTGACCTCCACTCCTGTTCCACATTCTGGCAGCTTCTCGGTCATAGAACTGCATGCGCACAAACCGAGCATCATGCTTGCGCTTCCATTGCATGCCAATTTCCATAACCAAAGGTCGGTGATCTCGATCACCATTGAGGATGTCAATGTCTGTGTCGACATACGTACGTAACACCCCAGATTGGGAATCCTTGGATAGCAAGATGTAGTCAATACGACTATGGTGACCCAGTGGGGACGTAAATGTGGCCGACGTCCCTTCATGATACTGACTGAAAGTGGAGGGTATCAACAAATCCCACTTCATGGCAAATTCTCTGAGAAATGCTCCGCTCTCATCTTCCACGTCCCATGCATGGTCGCCACATTCATCACTATTGACACTTCCCACACTCGCATTGAAATCTCCCAAACAAAAAAGGGGGATGGCTGCATCTCGCTTCCGCATCATAGAATGGATATCTGTCCACCATGTGGAGATCTCTTCCAGTCCTCTCCCTCGTTGTGGAGCATACAAAACCATCACATCAAAAGCAATGGAGCCTAAGCTGCAGCGAACCGCCAACGCTCGTTTGTCAGCATGCCACGTGCACAAGTCTTTGTCTGTGACCACATCAATGCCAAACAGACGCCCTAGGGCCAACCTATTCAGCCATAATTCCACACCAGCTTGTCCACGCTCCCCTGCTGCAATAATGCGAGTAAAAGGACCCATCTCCACACATCCAGAAGCTCTGGCTCGGGATTCCTGAACACCGACAATGTGAATCCCTTTGTGCTCAATCTGATGTAGCAATTCGACCACCTTCCAACTGACACCTTGGCCATCTCCACTTCCATACTTCAAGGTGCCCACATTGACCGTGGCCATCACCAGAGTAGCACTTTGTTCCACAAGATCCTCACCTTGATTCGATATTGTCAAAGTCGAATCAATCCTTCCCTTGTCTGCATTGGGTCTGTCATTCCTCAGGATGGTACGCAAGTCAGGCAGTTCCGCAGTGGGAGCAACCTCAATCCATGCCCATTCCGCAAGAGAATGCCGGAGCAATGGACCTGATCTGAACACAAATTCAGCTGGAGGTCTCCACCCATGCCATACTGCCTTTGCAATGCTGTCAGACATCTCATTCCATGGATGCCCTTGATGCGCCTTGACATGAATGCCAAATGTCGATCCGTCCATCTGACCTGCTTTACTTTCAAGAATGGTCATGATGATTCTTGCCATCTTCTGTCTCTGAGAATGACTGCCATGCTGCATGGGTATGTTGTATTCACCTGTTGCACCAAAACCCACAACCAGCGCATCAAAATGACAGTAGACAGTGATCGCTTGATGAAAACATTGCCCCAATGCGAACTCTGCCATGGCAATGATCGCCGTAGCTTCAGCATCCATGGCTGTGGGATCAAACTGGCCCAAATCATCGGAAACACATCCAGCCGCATAGCCAACTCTGTGAAAGATGTTTCTGCCATGCAAATCATGCTGCTGCAAAATAGTGATTGCCCAAGTGGCCCGATCGTGCTTGCACGATCCATCTGTGAAAACATGATACACTGGACTCTTGTCAGAATGTGCGTGTGAGAGTAGACAAGCAATTTGTGCATGAGGATGCAATGAGGGGATATCGGCGAAATCTTCATTGATACCTTCATGTCCACGACTCAAAACATTGCGCAGCAAACTCTGAAGTTCAGCAATATCATCCCATCGTCCTTCTGGTCGACAGGTCCCATGCTCCGGATTGGCCACATCATATTGATGATGCACACTAAAATGCATGCTTTTGCTCTCTCTTTCCGGCTCCTCACATGATTTCAAAGCAGCACAAATTTCGGCAAGTGGCCCATCACGATGTTTCAGCCCACTTCTCAACTGGAGAAAGGATGTATGTTCCACCACATCATCCGTTTGTACTTCATCTCCATCATTCAACAAGATGCTCAACATGTGATGTACTCGCCAAACCTGCAAACGAATGTGCACAAAATCCCCATGTTGCCACATGGATTGCAAACCTTCCATCCGTCTGCCATTGACATGGATGTGCGGTCGCACATTTTGCCTCATGGCTGATGCAAACCAAAAAGGATAAATAGCCAAGGCTGTGAAGAGTTCAGCTGATACCGCTCCTTCCATGACAGTAATCGCCCAAAACTCACTGGCGCCTTCATTCTGCTGTGGCATCGTCTGTGCTGCCAAAATCTGCTGTCGCACCAAGATCGGAACACCCTCCCGAGCACCGTAATCCACCACAAAATGAAATCTGATTTGATCAGCTTCACGCAAATCATCAGTAGCCATGGTGCAAAAGACGATCCGAGCATCCTGTGATGCAAAGGGCCAGAGCTGACGCAATTGGTCAATCCAATCCAAGTGCAAGAGGTCATCTCCCTCCAAGACCAACTGTCTCCAACCAAGGGGTCTGTTCTCGGGTGTGATGCCGTGAACATGACAAATGACCTGATGCACAGACCCTTCCATGTTCTGCACTTCTTCCACTTGCAAATAAAAGTCCTCAACTCTATCGATCATTTCACTTGCTCTTTGCACCAATTCAGGAATTTCTTCAACTCTGACTGTGCACAACATCCCATGATTGACTTCATATCGGTGATCTGCTTCCATCACATTGAAACCCAATCGTATCATGCAATCACGCATTCTGAAAGGCTTGCAGTACTTGTGCATGTCCAGCTGTACCAACGCATCTCTATGTGACAGATCCGTGAAGATCTTTGCACCGTATGGTGCAGGCCGCAAGGGAAGATGTCTCGGCCCTCGCTGGATGACCAGCACATTTCTCACATCCACATTCATGTCATCCGGAGATTCAATGACAACCAGCACCACCAGAGAGCGTGGTCCAGCTACCTCACACGGTTGTGGGTTGACATAAAACAAAGTGATACTACCATAACGCAAATGATCCGCCCATAGCGTCCTGATCTTGTCAGTCAACTCATACAACCTCCATGGACTGAACTCCACATCTCTTCTGCCGAGGTCCACAAGACCAAGGCCATAAGTGATGGCCATCCACTGCTGGTCATCTTCTGCAATGCCTTCCAACGCCTGGTCAATGAAAACCTGGGCCTGTTCCTGATGCTCATCAGCAAATACAACATCTGCCTGGTTCTCTTCTTCATCCTCCTCCAAATCAGCCAACGCTCCCATATCCCAAGGATAGGGGTCAGGTCTCTCAAATTGCAGGAGCACTGGTCTGTTAGACATCCAAGCCACCTCATTATTGTCATTGAGATCCTTGAGATCCTTGTCTTTTGAGCAGGAGGACCAAGTGAGATCCACGTTACCCTCACTCCCGTCCCTCACCTGCCCTTTTTGTGAGTACTGTGCCCATGACCATCTGTCATCAACCTCATCCTCTTTCGCACATTTGCTCAAGGAGCCATCATGTAAAAGATGAATATTGTGTCGCCCTTCATCATTGTTGCTGATCTGAACGTGTTGTTCCCAAGTCCACAGCTTGATTGTTTCTGTGACAGAAAGAGCAATCGTGGAGAAATGATCATCTTCACTCTCCAGGCTCGGAATATCTGTCGATTCAGTTGAAATAGTGTCTCTATCATCCTCCTCTACCTCAAGTGGACAAAGACACCCAATCACATACTGCGCTATGGGTAAAACACATCCTTCATGATCAACCAAACGATGAGTCTCACCATTCTGTTCATATTCAATGCAGCAAAGATAGTTCCTGGCATGACAAGCTTCTGGATATTGTGCCGCCTGGAAGAACTCTCGCACCGTGATCTCACTGTCATACAAGACAGCCCTGACAGACATCAATGGTGGTAGACCAGTTCCTTTCATCAGTGCAGCATTCCATTGTTCCAAATCGCCTTGCACAATGATAACATGCGCTCGTGTACTGGGTAGCCCTCCAGGCTGACCAGCAACGACTAGAAACTTCAATGGCGAACCATCCATCAGCTCAAACCAGACCTCCCTGCATGCTTCTTCAAATTCTCGAAATTGCATAGATCTGGAGTACTTGACCCTTCTCGAACGCAAGCAAACATGAAATCTTTGTGGCGCTAAAAACCATGTTGCAATAAATTCAGGTCTTGGATCCTCCTGCACACACAATTCAGTTAGTCCTTGCCACCAAATTGCACTTTCGTGTACGTCATCCAAATAATCAGAATTGTGCTGTTGCAACGTAGTTTCATCAGCCAAATACTCAACAGTTCCAAAATTGTCGCTCATCAAATCTATCCTACTTCTCTCAGCAAGCCTTGTGAAAGCAATCTGCAAATCATCCCAGACTGCAATCTGACCATGCAAGTGCCAAAATGAACGCAAAACGGCAAAACTGATGCCCTCATCCATTCCCACATCATACACAAGTGTGTCGTGAACAAATCGCACTTGCACCCTATCACTGAAGTGCACGTGCTTGCCACTGACATGTCCACCATCTGAATGAGAACGCGGCACAGCATGTTGGCACCAACTGTATGCTCCTTGCACAGTCTCTAACCCATGAACCTCCACTCTGTCACATTGACCGCTGGAATCCTCCTGCCATGATGAAATCCAGGGTTCTTGTAAAATGGCCTGAGACACACAGAGATCCACGTTACCCTCTGTGCTATCTCGCAAAGGGCCAGATGATTGGCTGCTGAGATCCATAGGTTGAATCAGTTCCATATTCACTTGATCATATCCCAACGGCACATTCAAACCGTCATTCCATTCCAGGGAGTCAAAGGATCCATCACTGAAAATCAGGGGCTCAAACTTTTTCTCAACCTGTCGTTCTTGTTGATATGCAACCCATGTGTAAATACAGTGACCACTGTTCATACTGTCATCCTCCTCAACACTAGGATGCATCTGGACATACCTTGTCGATTCAATGTCAAACGCACAAGCATCTTCCTCGTCCAATGGCATTCTGTCCTCATTTGCACGCAAGCCATCAGTCCACGAATAAGGATGCTGAAAATGTGATTGCCAAAATTGTTCAACTTCATGACGGAAACCTGCACACACATCATGAAATCCGCATAAGGAAGCAAGCCCGCAACAGACACCACTGTCCTTCTGGGTCATGTCACCATCTTGTCTTCCTTGTCTCGGTCCTTTCTGTTCTCTTTGGCATCTTTCACATCCTGTGCTTTCACCTTGAGATGGTGAGTCGCCACCTTTGTCGGTGAGCTGGATCCACGAAAAGGGCGCATCGCCTTGGGAATCGACTTCCCATGAGAATCTTTGTCGTGTCCCTCTTCCTCCAGCAATTCTTCGTCCTCCATCTCTTCTGTGAGATCGATTTGCCCCGCATGACCCTCCGTTTGCAAGGTCTCTTGTAACATGGTGAAATGCCGCTCCAAATCTGGTGCTTCCGGAATGATCGGCTCCGTCCATTGTGGACCCAACATGGATTGCGAAGCCTTGGTCATCTCCTGTTTTACAGCTGCCAGTTCTTGAATCTTTGCATTGTAGGTCTCCATGAGATCCGCTCTGCAATTCTGAAACATTTCTCCATGATGACGAACCTTGTTGATGGTGTTGTTGACGAATGCCGTCCACTCTCCATCTAAGTCCTTGATCTTCTGGGCTGCGGCTGCCACCTGAGACTTGAGCTTGTTCAACTTGTTCAGGTGGCCATGAGTCAATGTTTTGTTGGATTGAACCTTCGCTTCCCGCATGGAAAGTTCTTCCAACTTTCTGGCCATTGACTCCGTGAGTTCCATGTCCATGGATTGGATGCCCTTGAGATGCTGTAACATTCGCTCCTCCTCTGCTGTAAGCCCCACCGGTGCTTCGACTGATGGTGCTGGAGGCAGAATTGGCTGTGGCGGCATCCCAAGCGGCTTCTCCACAGAAATTCCGACTTCCACTTTGCGATTGTTGGCCCTTGTGGCCGGTGTGCTCGATATCCAAGGCAGTTTGTCCGGAAAAACTGCCCAGGCACCTGCTTCCTGACTGACTTTTTCTGTCGATTTGTAATCTTGAGCATCCTGGCTCCTCTTTTTGCTGCTCTTTGACCTGGACCGACGTGGTGCTGACCAAACCACACTCCAGTGAGCTTGACAAACCCGACAGTGAGTCATCTTCGGCGTATTGTTGACCTTGCATGTGAAACAATGCCACGTCATTGAGCTCACAAGTTGAATGAGGGGTGGAAGTTCCTTGAAATTGAAGGAGTGATGGCCGTAGAGAAAACTCACGGCTCTCCTTGCTCTCTCTCTCGTCCCACGCCCCCACAAGCCAGATCGTACCACTCCCAAGCTGGTCCGCAATCGTTGTCTCCTGCGACGGAGATTTCGATGCCAGGTGGGTTCGATCCTCTTCGCCAACTTGGATGTTCAACAGGCAGTAACAGTTCCAAAATGCAAAAGCTGCGAGAAACCGCGCAAACATACGACAGCGCGAAATCCCTAAGGTTGACAGCTAAGGGTGCTAGCTGACGTCTCGTGACCAACACCCCTGGGCCGAAACCTTACATATTTATATATATATATACACAAATTACATATGTGTGTACATATATCTATATATGTATATATTATCTATATCTACAAAAAATATAATCTATCTATATACATATATATATATAGAAATATAAATATCAAGATCATATTATATATAAATATGCGCTAGTATATTATAGACAGATGTCCAGATGGCCCCAGGCCCAGGCCTCGCCCGAGAGCTTCAAGTCGCCATCGGGGTTCATCTGGCCAGGTCATCCGGATGTGGCTCCAAAAGGTGGTTTTTCGTGGAAATTTGAATGGAAAAAATGCTGATAGTAACAATGATGATGATGATGATGATCATGATCATGATCATGATGATGAAATGATGATGATGATGAGGATGAGGATGAGGATGAGGATGAGGATAGGAATGTTGATGTGATGATGATGATGATGATGATGATGATGGTGCTGTTGAGGAGGAGGAGGAGGAGGACGAGGAGGAGGAGGAGGATGAGGATGAGGATGAGAATGAGGAGGATGATGAGGAGGAGGAGAAGGATGAGAAGGAGGATGATAATGAGGAGGAAGATGAGGATGAGAATGAGGATGAGGAGAAGGATGAGGATGATGAGGATGATGAGGATGATGATGATGATGAGGAGGGAGAGGAGGAGGAGGACGAGGAGGAGGAGGAGGAGGATGACAATGATGATGATGATGATGATGATGATGATGATGAGGGAGGAGGAGGAGGAGGAGAAAGAGGAGGAGGAGGAGGATGATGAAAATGATGATGATGATGATGATGATGATCAGGAGGAGGAGGAGGAGGATGAGGATGATGGTGATGATGATGATGATGATGATGATGGTGATGATGATGATGATGATGATGACGATGTTGATGATGATGATGATGATGATTGATCGGAATTGCGGCTACGTCATGCTCAGTCAAACCTGAATGAAGTATGGTTTAGGGATTGCTAAGTGCAAGATGTAAGGGCTAAAGAACAAAGGTTGCATGAGCCAAGAAGGGTTGATAACTGTTAGTTAGTGTGAGGCGTAGAATCAGTGAATCTGCGGGGGGTTCAGATGGCGATGTTCTGCGTGGAACAGGTGACATGATTCCTGCTGGCCAGCTAAATTGTAAAACATCCGAAGCATGTCCCTTCCCCTAAGATTTCTTTATCTCACAACATGCTGATGTGCTTTTCAAAACGGGTCATCACGTCGCTGCAACGTGGCAATTTGCCAGTCTGCAGGTTGAAATTGGCAGCTTCGTGTCTCCAAGATCTTCGGTGATTTTTGTGAGAACAACCGAAACCAAAAGTCAAGTCCCCTCCTCTCCCCCTCCTCCAAGCACAAGTACAAGTACAAGTACAAGTACAAGTACAAGTACAAGTACAACAACAACAACTACTACTACTACTACTACTACCACTACTACCACTACTACCACTACCACCACTACCACCACTACCACCACTACCACTACTACCACTACTACCACTACTACCACTACCACCACCACCACCACTACTACCATTACTACCACTACTACCACTACTACCACTACTACCACTACTACCACTACTACCACTACTACCACTACTACCACTACTACCACTACTACTACTACTACTACTACTACTACTACTACCTACTACTACTAATACTACTACTGCTACACCTGCTACACTACTACCACTACTACTACTACTACTACCACTACTACTACTACCACTACTACCACTACTACCACTACTACCACTACTACCACTACTACCACTACTACCACTACTACTACTACTACCACTACTACCACTACTACCACTACTACTACTACCACTACTACCACTACTACCACTACTACCACTACTACCACTACTACTACTACTACTACTACTACTACTACTACTAGTACTAGTACTAGTACTAGTACTAGTACTACGACTACTACTACTACTACTACTACCACCACCACCACCACCACCACCACTCCCACTTCTACTCCTACTCCGGCTCCTACTCCGACTCCTCTACTCCGACTCCTCTACTCCTCTACTCCTTCCTCCCTTCTTCCCCAAGTATTACACCGGTAGTGCCGGTGGCTAGTGTCATTTCTTAAAGCATTACCGTCGTCTACAGGTACTCGTCACAGGACGCACACGGTACTGATCGACCAGTACTCATTTGATATGCGTTCCATTGGTTGTTCAAGCACGCACTTGCTACTCAAGCTGCTTCTGATCTGCGGCTCTGTCTTCGTCTCTTCTTCTCTCAGGCTTCCACCTAGCGTGCGCCTCAACCTCCCTTGGGGCAATCTCTCTCCCATGTCTCCTTCCATGCAGCGGTCTGCTGAGAAGCCAGAGGCTCATACATAGTACATAGTACCTGGCGCTGCTTTGCTGGGGGCGGTACTAATTTGGTATACATACGGTCAATAGGTTGTTGCAGCAAACCTTGCTACACAAGCCGCTTCCGTTTTATGGCTTTGTCTTCGTCTTCCTTTCTTATTTTTCTTCTTCTTCTTCTTCTTCTTCTCCTCCTCCTCCTCCTTCTTTTCTCTTCTGCTCTCTCGCGGGCTTCCACCTAGAATGCACATCAAACTCCCTTGGGGCCACCTCTCTATGGCCGACGGGCTTGCCGAAGGCAATTAAATAATTTAGGCATAGATTTACAGTCGCCCAAAAAAGATAGAAAAGACGGAAAACTGACGCATCGCATATGTTACTATTTTGGTAGGATTTCCCTCTTCTATCTTTTTGGTGGTTACAACAAAAGCTAAGCACGTTTTATTGCGCCCTTGCACCGCGCCTCTTCCCAGTACTGTGGCCAAGTATCGCCTGAAAAAAGACTTCGAGATGGGTAAAGATTTAATGAGATTTCATCAGTAAAATTGATCGAGATTAGTATACTTACAGAGCTTTAAACACTTAGTAATTATACAGGTTCAAAAATGAGATGTTACATCAGAAGCAGAGTCAGAAATCAGGTATCATGATAATATCTGATGTTGATTTGGGTGGGTTCAAATCATATTCTGGTGTAAAAAAAATCGGGATCAATATGATTAAGTCCAGCAGATTCATCGGTACAATTCTTGAGCAATGCCCCATGGCGTAAAACCCATAGCTTGACCCTGCAGCCAGAAATGAATGGCGATGTTTCATGGTGATGTTTCACGGGGATTAATGGTATGATGGGATGCTGTATTAGGATAATATTAGGATATATCACCAGCAATACTGGAGGCATAGTGGGATGTTTCATCTGGACTCGTGGCCTTGCATCATACAGTTTGCATTCCCTCCCCATTATGAATCTTGCATCATGCCCTAAACGAAGACTCCGTCGCACAGGAAATTTGAAAATTCTGGGCACCTGCTACGGTAGTAGTCCGAGATGGCAGTTCATCTGGTTTTTTAGTGTTCGGATCAAATGTTTTGCCAGCAAGAGACTCCCCACATTCGGAAGCACTTCCTTGGCAGCTCTTGAGTGGTGTCACACAGCAAGCAGGGTGCAATGCAACAACAATCAACAACCAACCACCAACCAAAACATCAGCGAAAAAAATCACTGCAAGAAGTATAATAACAAGGCCACGCAAGTGAAACTTTTCAAGGACAGCTCCGGTGACCGAAAAAAACTGGTCTCAAGTCTCAAGCGGGCGTAGATCCTGGAACCAAGCCTCTTTCGCCATGCCCTTGGCGTCCTCTTCGTTGAGGCCCCACTCGGTGTCATCTGGCCACGTGTCAAGGACCCGCTGGCCGTTTGGAAATGAGACCATCAAAAAACACCGACTTCAAGGGCCCTGGCGTCAAACAAGACGAGGCAGAATTGCCCAGTTTGTTTCGCACATCATTGCCAGCAGGTTCTTGTCCAAAGCTGGTGGATACCCGAAATTTGCCAACTATATGTATATGATGTGTATATATATATATATTATTTTTATATACACAGTATTTTTGTATATATACACTGTCTTTATATATATATATATGAGCCATTCTGAAAACCTTCAGTCACTCCCTATGTGGTATCATTTTGGGTACGCCAAAGCTTACGCCATGCTTATGTGCGTAGAGTTTTTCCTTACGCGAAACAAATTGAGGAAACCCTTACGCGAAGTTCTTACGCGGCCTTACGCAAGTGAGGGTTTTGCTTCCGCCAAACAGGTTATGACAAGGCCCTTGCTGAAAATGTAAAGGGAGGTTTTTAGAGCAGCTCAAATATACATACACATAAAAGACTCAAAAAGAAATGATGATCAAGCTTTGGACTGTGAGGACTTTGGGGTACAGTGAAACCACTGTTTAAGAACCTATTGCAATAAGAACTTCAGGGGATGGATTGCTGGATTCAACCCTTTCTGTCAGCTAATTGAAATAAGAACCCTAGGGTGCCCTGGAATTCTAGCCACTGGCTCTTATTCCCCTTCAACGGGTATCAATATACCAAACATTATCAAATATTGATTGTTTTTTTTCTAAACCTGGTTGGACGGGTGCCTTTCTTCTTGCCTTTAACATGAGCGGGAACATCCAACTCATGTGCTGCAGCAAAGAAAACTCAAGGAAAGCTAAAGCTGAAACCATGTATGTTCCACATAATGCAAGGCGCCTTGTGGGAATCAATCTCCCGACCTCCCACTTGCTAGGCTGATGCTCTGCCAACTAAACTATTGACTCTCTGGCCTCGGTGTCTGCCAACCTTTTTTCTAACGTTTTGATCTACAGTATTTTTTCCTATGGCTGCGCAGCAAAAAAATCCTTTCTGCAGGTGTTGGCGCGTGTGCTTTTCAGCCCGTGCTGCCTCTGTTTTGGATTCGCTGCTTGCCGATGTGTCTGAGGCACTATTTCCAACTTGCAAAACCCTCGCCATGTGAACCCCTTAAGAACAAATGCGTTAAGAACTCGAGGGTACCCTCGTTCATAATTCCCATATTTTCCACCTATAGCACTTAAGAACCCCAGGGTAGGCTGGAAAATTCTTGATCGGTTCGTGTCTAACGGTCTAACGGTTCCGCTGTACCCCATTTTCAAACAACCAAACAAGCCATATCAATTCCTGAGCCAGAATTTGCAGTGACTGAGCCATGAAGGTCTTGTAACAGTGACTGATGCTGAGGAAAAGAATGATGTATTGCATTGCCATATGAGAAATTTCCGAGACATGGCTGGAAGTTTCACATAGCCTGCTTTCTGTTTGATCGTCTGATCCTTCTTGGTGATATTGATATCAGTGATATCAGTATAATCTGTGGTGTTTGTAAGAATGCTACACACCAAAACCATCCAAAACCATCATGCTCAAGATTTCGTTTTTAGGCGTTGCTCAAGAATCTTGATTTCTTAAGGGATGGAAAGGTAAATTTTGAGCCATTCCCATATCACTTCTGCGCCCACCTGATCCAGCATAGGAAACCCAGAGGTCCCTCAACAGTCCGGCCACATCCCCAGGGTCGAAACAGCCTTCGGACATCAGCTGTGCCAGCAGGTGTGTAGAGATACCCACTATGAATTTCTAGGATTCTAGGGCCTAGGGACTAAAAACTCACTACAGTGCCATCTCTACTTTGCAGGTCCCCAAGAACTTGGGGCCTTATGAAGGGCTTGTTACCCACTACCGGCACGACCGTGGAGAACCCAACCTCCAAGAAGACCAAGAAATATAGAACCAAAGATACCAGAAACTATGAAGCTAGATGGATTTCCAAAATAGTAAAACATGATAATTCTTAAGATTTCAAGTTGTACATGTATATAAATAAAATATAATGAACAAATATGAGGTTAAGCCTGGAAAAGAATGACAATTAATGATTCGTTATATTTTATTTGGTACGTCTAAAAACATCACTGTCGAGGCAGAGCCTCACCATTCCAGGAGTGGTGGATTATCACTGGTACCAACGGGATCCTATTGGGTACAGCAGCTTTAAGAACACACATGAGTCACATGAGCTTTCTCTATAGGCTTAAGCGGCTTAATCCACCAAATTCTCTGCTTCTCTGGGTCTTAGAATCTTGGAATCTGATCCAGTCTGGGCCTCAATCCTCATAAAGATCATAAAGGTTGCAGTCTCCGTAATTGTAGGCTTTTCCGCAGCCCCTCGCGGTTGTACGGCGCGGTCGCGCCTGAGGGAAAATTCTGATCCTGGAAAGGGATGAAAGGATGGCCACAGCTTTTGTCGGATGAATCATCGAAAGGATCTTCCCAAATAATATTACGAATCACAGCACTCATGAAACTGTCATGTAATTATCATGGTAAACAAAAATACCCGAAATTACCAAATCATCTTCTGAATGGTGATTTTTTTGTGCTTGATGTCACTGTCCAATGAATGCGAAAAAGATCTTGGTGTTGAATCCCAAAGCAGCCCATCTGCCGAGTCAAGCTGGAGCGTAGCCACATAGCCATCTCTAAAATCCCACTGCATCACCAGAGATGGCCATTTCAGGAACCGATTGATTGGAGGTACCTACCATATATAAGGCCTATTTTTCAGGCCTAAATTTCAGGGAATATCCCCAGAAAATATGGCCAAAAATATGGTACTAACGTACCTCCATTTTAGGATCCTGAAATCCCCATGCAAATCCAGGCAGTCAATGGCCATGTTGTATCCACCTGAGCCGTGTTCAAAACCGCCCCTGCCAATCCCTATAGGCCCTATGGACCATGGTTGAACACAAAAACGCAACTTGAATCATCTGAATATCCATGAAGTGTATGAAAATTAAGCTACATAATTGTCATGATTGCAGGTGTTGTCCCACGCCAGGTTGCCACCCTGTCCTTTGCCACGCTTCCATTGATCCCCGAGTGATTTGCAGGGAAAGTTAGACCTAGCCGCGTGCACCACATTGCTCAAAGTCTAGTCTAACTTGCTTCTGATTTCGGTATTTCCAAGAATGGAGGGTATACCATGGTATACCCCAAATCCACTGCTTCCCCGTGATGTTCTTGATGCCAAATTACCTTTTTCTTGAGGCTACAACCCCCAATCTTCAGGCTATGTTTTTTAACGAAAAAAAGACCTGGGTGGATCCACCCATAGTCCCCCCCCTTCGGTCCGCCACCTTGTGCTGCAGCTGTTGCATTGGTGGCCTTCGCTTCGAGAGCTTCTGCCGGCTTCGCCGGGACCTCCATGGCTATGGAAAATTTAGCAGCCAAATTGGGAGTATGTAAAGATGATATCGGCATCTAAAATCAAAATGGGGATGGAACCAACAGAACAACGGGGACACTGCTAACATCTGCTAACAATGATTGGGAGACTAAGATAATAGATTCAAAATGGACCATCGGGACGTGGACATGGCTCCCAGATCGTGATTCTTGACAATTTTGCCACCATATAATCCTTGTTCAGACTCCATCCCAGAAATATTGCCAGTGGAGCGTAGAACTTGGGGACCCATTCTCGGATAGTGAAGGTGAAAGCCAAACCGGAAATCAATTGAAGGTTGCCTTGACTGGCTGGTGAGAGGGGACATCTTGACAACAGCCAACAATAGTACAATGTCATCGATGTTTGGGTGTTTCCAAATATGGTTGAGAGGCCAAAATTGCGAAGTCATCAATGAACTTGGGGCTTCTGAAAGCCTGCCTTTGAGGCCCACAAGTTCAGGAAATCCAATGTTAGTTTTTCAAATGGATACAATGCTATGAAACATCCCAATCGGGTGTTTGTTTTTGTCCTAAAAGTCTCATATAATATATTACAACACACTTTGCTACGCCCATCAGCCCGTGCGATTGGCCCCAGTCGGCAAGAATTGGTCGGCTGCAAGGCAAAAAAAAACAATCTCTTGCAGCTGCAGTTTCTAAAAAAATATTTAGGTCCAAAACTGCCATTCATTGGATTAGTTACCCTCTGGTTCTGTCAAAATAGCTATTAAAAATGACCATAGAAATAGTGGATTTACCCATTGAAAATGCATAGTTTGCCATAGTTATGTGACAGTTTACTCTAGAGGGTACTGATTAGTTGAATTGATATTTCCAAAGTTTCAAGGAAACAGCCGGGCACCTCCTCGGAGCGATTGCTCTCCAAGTCGACATCTAACAGCCAGGGGCTACCTGGAACCAAGGAATACCTAGATTGAGAGGGACAAAAACTATGGAAAAGTATGGAAAAATGATGTTAAGATATGTTAAGCATGTGGGAAAAAAAGGCTACTGTTGGAAAGGTAAGGTCTAAAACAAGTTCTAGGTCTTCACCATGTCGGGATGGGTTTTTTTTCCGTATCTCACCAGGATATTCCTGAAAAGTGGCCTCGGGATGGCTCGGGAACAAGTCTGGGAGGTGGGCACTCTACCCAGCAGGTTGTGAAGATGTTTGAGAGCCAAAATACCAAAATAGTGGCCATGAGAAGAGTACAATAGCAACGACTACAAATCATTGAAGTGTTGCTCCCTGAAATTCAAACCACATAGGTTCCACTGATTTCCAGAATGGGCGCCACACGTCTCTGCAGCCGCGTTGACAGCCGCCGCCCACCATCATGATCTAGTTCTTTCCTTACAGACCAGGCTCAGTCATAAGGGCTGTCCCAAGAATTGAGGATCCCAAACTCATCCTCTGGGGAAACCCATGGTTTTGGCAATTTGGGGGTCCCCAAATGTTGGCTCTTCCCACCATCATCCACAGGCTGGATGCCCAGTGTCAACCATCCCTCATGTCCTTGTACCACACATCTTTGTTGGCTGAACCGTATGATGTGGTTGAACCCTGTGATTGTTGTTCATACCCTAGCATCGCTGTAAGGCAAAAAAAGACATCAACAATCCACAAAAAAAATGAGTCGGTAAGATAGTTTTGGACGAATAGGATGCGTTTTGGTATACAAATTTATGATAACGTTCCCCATTATTCAATTGGCAATTTTGGGGTAATCCATCATGTTCGGGCAAACCTCAATATTGCACCGTCGATGATTCCACATCCCCATCACACTCGCTACATCCGACCGGTAACCCCACTATGATTGGTGTCTTACCCGCGATGTTCAAACGTGAACAAACAAAAATTCTGAGCTCCGAGTTTCTGCGATTCTTTGATCTCTTTGACCTCCTCTTTAATCTCATTCAGCATCTGTTTCATGCCCCCCTCAGCAAATGAAAAGCCCACTGCCAGGTGCCCAGTGCATTGTTTGCGGCCATCGGAAGGGAAATGCGTTGTAGATGGGTGGTGCATATTTTTTTCTTGGAACATCCAAACTAACAAATCCAACAGAATTAGCACAATCACGTCAAATAAACAAACATCAAGAAATTGATGTGGCTTCTGGCAGCCTGTGGTCCAGTGCTTCAATTGATCCACTGGGCCAGAAGTGTTGCCATCTTGCTTGGGGTCATCAAGCCGGTCCAAAAAAATTCACTGAAATCCCCGAAACCTTCCGAGCATCAGCTGCCCCTGGGTTCCGGGCAAAACCTTGATCGTGTAGCAAGAATTGGTCAAAGACCTTGGTAAAATTTGGCTATGAATTTTCTGGATCCACCGGTGCTGTCCCAAAAGTGCTTTTTATACCAAAACGTTTACTTTATAGATTTTGAGGGCTATAAAAATGTGATTTCCCCTACCAGTAAGTATATACCTATATACGTATATACCTATATATATATACAGACATTTACACAAACATACAAATAAACATATATATATATGTAATATACATATGTACATATGTACATATATACATATATCCATTATATGCATATATCCATATATCCATATACATATATACAAATATAAGTGTATACATATTTACATATAAAATATATACATATATCCATATACATATATACAAGCATACATACATACATACATTACATTACATTACATTACATTACATTACATTACATTACATTCCATTCCATACCATACATACATACATACATACATACATACATACATACATACACACATACATACATACATACATAGATACATAGATACATAGATACATATATACACATATACATGAATATACGTATAGATGCACATATGCATATATCCATATATATATATATATACAAGTATACATATACATACATATACATACTACATACATATACATACATATACATACAAATACATACAATTACATACATATACATACATATACGTACATATACACACATATACATACATATACATACTACATACATATATATATATACATTTATACTTATGCATAATTACATATACATATATAATATTCACATGTGTACATACATATAAGATATTTATATATACATGTGTGTAGAATACTTGCATATATGTATCGCAATTTCCTATACACCCCAGGAAAACAAGCGTATGGAGCTGCAGAACCAGGAAGCTTTGCACGGTAAGGAGCCTTGGAACTGAACTTTTTTGGTCTTCCAGGTGACCCAGGTGACCCAGGTGCCCTCAGAAAAAGGTGGACTCACACAGAGCTCACTGCCCGAACCGAGAAGCCGGATTGAGACCAGGATGAACTTGCCTCACCCGCTGGGCAAACCTCAAGGTTTGAAGCCAGGATTGGGGACACGGCCAGAAGTAATCTCGATGCACTGTTTGAACCCCGCCCTCTTTTGTTCATTTAACATAGCTATGATTAGATAGACGAGGTTTATACACATAATAATCCCTTCCTCCTAATACTAAACGTCCCCCTAATACTAAAAACAGGCATCCATCTCCAATTTCCGAAAATTTCAGTTTGGCCAATTTGACTTTTAATTGATCCCCTTTAAAAAACAATTCAAAAATCAACCTACCATTTGTGGGTTCTCCCCCCTAATACTAAAAACTAATTCATCCCGGGGTGTTTAGTATTAGGGGGGCTAGTTTTTAGTATTAAGGGTTTTAATTTAGTATTAGGGGTAAGCTTCGAACTGCCATTTTTGGCAATATTTTAATTGCGTTATATAAGGAAATTTAATTGATTTTGAGATCGGAAAAAATAGTTTTTAGTATTAAGGGTTTTAATTTAGTATTAGGGGTAAGCTTCGAACTGCCATTTTTGGCAATATTTTAATTGCGTTATATAAGGAAATTTAATTGATTTTGAGATCGGAAAAAATAGTTTTTAGTATTAAGGTTTTAATTTAGTATTAGGGGTAAGCTTCGAACTGCCATTTTTGGCAATATTTTAATTGCGTTATATAAGGAAATTTAATTGATTTTGAGATCGGAAAAAATAGTTTTTAGTATTAAGGGTTTTAATTTAGTATTAGGGGTAAGCTTCGAACTGCCATTTTTGGCAATATTTTAATTGCGTTATATAAGGAAATTTAATTGATTTTGAGATCGGAAAAAATAGTTTTTAGTATTAAGGGTTTTAATTTAGTATTAGGGGTAAGCTTCGAACTGCCATTTTTGGCAATATTTTAATTGCGTTATATAAGGAAATTTAATTAATTAATTAATTAATTAACATGACTTCGATTTGGTTCCCTAATAATAAATACCCCCCTAATACTAAAAACTACCTGCCGTGTTTTGTATTAGGGGGGGGTTTAGTATTAGGAGGAAGGGATTATATGTATATTCATCTACAAAAACCAATCACTTAGACACGAACGAATAAATAAGCAAACAAGCAATTAAAATCATACATACAAATATCGATTTGATAGACATGTGACATATTACATATATATATATATGTATAGAAAAGAAAGGAAGAGAAAAGATAAAAGAAAAAACACATTCAAGCACCGCTATTTTAGTACGATCTTACTTTTCCATACTTTTCCCCAAACATCATGTTCAGTGTTGTCCTGGTGTTGGTTCAAGGTGGTCTCCCGCCGGCGGGTCCGGCTAATGTGGCGACCCTTGCAGCACACAGGCTCTTCGATCTTCCGTTTTCGAAGGACGTCTGCCACGAAATGTTGGCCCAGTTGGTGAATGGGACGATGTCTTGAAAGGCTCGAAAGTCTCGTTTTGTGAAACTGTCGTCATTTTTGATTTGCTACATGATGATCAGTTTTCGTGGCAGGCGCAGTACTTCAGATGGCTCAGGCTCTTTCTTCGTGGCAGGTTCTTCAGGGACCTCGACGAAAAAGCGCCAGAAACCTAGTTAAAACATCGTATATCACATGTTTACTTTTCGTGGCGCGCGCAGATTCTAACATGTGCTCGTGCAACCCTCTTGTGACTTCGTGCGTGTCAGATCACTCTCGCTGTGGCGAGATTCTGTCAAGGAGAACTTGTACAGCGATCTTGCCAGGGGACCTCTTCAAGATCTTGTGCAAAGATCTTCTATAGAGAAATCTTGTGCGGAGATCTTTTATAGAAGATCTTGCCAAGAAATCAATTTCACAGAGACCTTGTGCAGAGATCTTGCCAGGGGACCTTTTTAAATATCTTGTGTGGAGATCTCTTACAGAGATCGTGACAAGGGATCTTCTATAGAGATCTCTTGCAGAGATCTTGAGTGCAGATCTCTCACAGAGATCTTGCATAGAGATATCGTACAGCGATCTCGCCAAGAGGACTCTTATAGAGAACTTGTAAAGGGATCTTGTATAGAGATCTCTTACAGCGATCTTGCCAAGCGATCTCTTCTAGAGACTTTGTGCAGAGATCTTCTATACAGGGGTATTGCCAAAAGACCTCTCCCACAGACCTGGCCCAGATCTCTTAGAGATCTCTTAGAGGGGCTTACCAGATCTTACAGAGATCTTTATAAAGGGAACGAGCAGAATCTAGCATGGCATCTCTTCCTCATGCCCTTTGTGATCTTTTACACAGATCTTGACAAGGGAAACTTGCAGAATCTACCCTTGTATATCTTCCTCGTGTTCTTTGTAACACTGTTTGGGGTCTGTTGCCCGGATAATCTATCATAATCTATCAATGTTTGGGTCGTTTCCGAACCATATCCTTTTCTCCATATTTACCAAACCAGATGAGTTCGGCTGGTGATGATTTCTACAATCCCCATCATCGAACTGCTGAGGTCACGGATGGGGTCGCTCGAATTTACCCAATCTGGGGATTTCAGATGTTAACCATCAAAAATGAGGATTACCTCAAGGATTACCACTATTTCAGTGAGGTTTTACCTTCCAAACAAAAAACCCTCTGGTTTCATGATTTGCCAGAAATGATGATGTTCCAGTTCGCTACGCCATTCTCAACACGTAAATCATCATCAACTTATCATGTTGACCATCCCCAAGTCACCATTTTGAGTGGTACCCTCTGGTTATGACTAACATAGCCATGGTATAGATGGCCCATAGAAATAGATGGTTTACCCATTAATGGCATGGTGATTTTCCATGGCAAACTGTTAGTCATAACCAGATGGTAATCATCAATTAGATATCCAGGGTTTCCACTAAACTTACTAAACTATATCCATTCTTTAGCTAGTCCCATCTTCCCATTTTTCGTGGTAGTTTTAGTGGTACCACTTGTCGCTGCCCCTTGAAAAACCCCGCGCGGTCGAGCCACGCATTCACATCGCCCAGCGGAACCTTTCGGGGATCATCACCTGTGGTTTTTCAAAGAAGCGCCCGGCGTAGACATGGACATGGCTGTGGGACAAAAAACCATCAAAAATAGGGATTGAACGTATGATTTAAAAAAAAAAAAACATGAAAAATGGTGATGTTTCACATGATCCACATCAATTGATGGTGATTTGACCATTCAAAAATGTATGGATGTAACATGATGTAACCAATGAAGAATAGATATGGGTGTGGCTGAAAGTGGGCACCCTCCAAATGGACATGTTCAATAGGGAAATCGGGAAAAGTGATCCACCAGTGGATTTAGGAATTTAGGGGTACGGTATTCTCGGGCATGCTCTTCTTTCATGGGAAACAAATGGAAAAATCACCTGGTTGGAAAAACATGATTTCTCATTGACAGGCTTCTCAATATGTAATCACAATTTGATCGCTGTATCCAGGAATGATTTCCCATTGCTAGTTTCATCAGCAAAGGGCGTGGCTGACCCCTGCCCCTGCGGCGCCTATGATGAAGTGTGTCTGGAAGAAGTTTTCGCCTTGGGAGCCCGAGTCAGCGACTAGTAACCGACCCTTAGAAATCATCCTATGAGTATAATTTCATCAACCCCTTCTTTGGATTTTGGAATTGATGGATATAGTTTTCTTCAACCCCTTTTCATCAACCCCTTGTTTATGGTTCAAACGTTTATATAGATGTGGAAAACCCCACAGTTTAGGGGATCATTTTCCGAACGAGAGACTCCGGGAGACTAATGGTTTTCCACATATTTTTGTATGTCTACCCTAGGGTATTTCATCCCATTCATATCCCATTGCATCACCAATTTGTAATGGTTCAATCAGCATGTTCCATGCTATCCCCATAGATTGGTGCTTGTTAAAATGCCATTCAACACCTCTGCCAACACCTCGATATTTCCTTCCGATCCACTGCAAATTTGCTTGATCTCGTAGCGGCGTTCTTTGGCCAGTTCCTGGGTCAGGGTACACAGGCATCATGCAACTATTATTAGACTATGAGTCATGCAGGCCATATCATAGAGAAAAAACAATTGGAATATATATATATATATTAGTATATTATATATATTATATATATTATATATATTATATATTATATATTATATATATTATATATCTTATATATATAATATATATTATATATATTATATATATTATATATATTAAATATATTATATATATTATATATATAT